AGATGGACCGAAAACACTGCTGAAGGTAGCAGCCGCCAGCCAGGAGAGGTCTGCGGCGCCACGTGGGCGCCTCCCTGGCCGGCTGGAAATGGAACTGGTGCTGCAGAGGCTGTGGACAGCTCCACAGTGCTGCGCTCAACCTGCTGGGCCACCCGTGTGGCCCTGGTTTTGTTTTTTAAATATTTATTTATTTATGCATACAAGAAGTGGGATACAGGCCAGCGGTGTGGGGGTGGTAGTGAGAGGATTCATCAGAGGCAGAGTGGGGAGCAGAACAGGTGGATCCACTGAAATACACTGCCAAGGGGAGCAGCAGGAGACTCAGGAGAGGTCTGCTGTGCCATGTGGGTAGCTCCCTGGCCAGGGATCGAACTTGTGCTGCAGTGGCTGAGGACAGCTCCATACTGCGTCTTAACCTCTTGCACCACCAGGGAGGCCCCTCCTTAAGTTAGTTTAAATGTGAATATATGTGTTAGTAATTATTTGTCAGAGAATTGGCAGAAAGACCAGGAATGAGGGAGAGAGAAAACCGGAAGGGAAAGAAACCGGAAGCCTTTAGAACACGTTGCTGAAACTTCTCATATAAACATTGAGACCGAGATTTAAGTTACGGAAATTTAATATACACCAGAACAATACACGCAGGGCATGTGGGTTAGGATAGCAGCAGAGTCACAAGACAGATACAAGGGAGTAAACATGCCACAGAAGCATCTCTGCATTAACACACGCTCCCTAGTCCAACAATCCCAAATTAAACCCAAGACAGAGTGGGTGGAGCTGGGCGCAATGGAAATAAGCTTCCCTTTCTACAAATCTGGTTCCTTTGAACCAGCAACCCTTTCAAACGCAGTTCCACATTACAAGGTCTATTGGTATTGTTGCAGAAATGCATCACTCCAGGGAAGTACAGGAACAGTCGTTTTTCTCTGTATACAAGTTCTTCCTATTCTATCAGTTGTCCTCAACTGAAAGCCACCCAGTGTCCACCACGAGGAACACAGACAACGGGCTGTGGTACATCCACGCAACAGAATAGAACCAACTACGGATGCCTGTACATGACTGAATGTCAAAAACATCATGCCGAGTGAGAAAAGCCAGACACTTGGATATATGCAGTCAGAGTCCATTCATATGAAACTTCAGGAAGTAAAGCTAATCTAAGCAGACAGGAAGCACATTAGTGGGTGTCCAGGGCTGGAGGTGGACATTGGGAAGGGGTATGAAGACATGCTTTGGGTTGACGGAGGTGTGGTGGTGTATTAGAATGGCATTGAAATATACACTTAAAATGGGCACCTTCTCCTGCATGTAATTTATACCTCAATAAAGATGATTTGAAAAAAAAAAAAAAAAACAACGTTCAGGAGCCACCAGAGACCAATTATCAGATTCCCTGGGGTAGGGCCTGGCCATCAGGATAACCTGAAAGTTCTTGAGGTGCAAAATATTCGCAGCCAGGGAGGTGAGCTATAAGGCTCTCCCCATCCTCAAGGGGTGGGGTGGTTAGAGGCCACCCATGTGATGCTCTGCCCCTTCCTGGAAGAGGAGAGGAGAGGCAGGATAGTCGGGCAGCACTTAATGACAGGGCTTTGTTTTCTGAGAAACGTGTCGGTAGGCGATTTCGTCATTGCGTGAACATCAAAAAGTGTAATTGCACAAACCTGGGTGGTACTGCCTACCGCACACCTGGCTCGACGGTATAATCTAGTGGGACCACCATGGTTCAGTCTGTGGTGCACTAAACCCTCGTTAAACAACATATAACCGAGAGAGGAAGAATAAGGGGGAGGGGAGCAAGATCCCCACCCACCCCCTTGACCTCGGCCCCTGCACGTCAGGATTCAGATCTCACCTTATTTTCCTGCTTCTCCCCTCTGCCCCCTGGCTCCTGAGGCTCCAGGTGGGGTCCTCTGGCCTAGAAGAGGAAGCCTTGGGGTTTAGAGCTGGGGCTAGAGCCCTAGTCTCTTTTCTCTCTCTCCACCCAGCCTCTTGGGGAATACAAGGGAGCCTGCATTGTCTCACATTCATACTGGGGACAAGTGCTGAGCACAAGCCCCCTGTAATAATTCTAAGAGTTTGGCCAGAAAGTGGGCAACAGGTCTCTGGGGATGTCCTTCGCAGGGTGGACAGGGGCCCTGGGCAGCAACCCACAGCCGGGACCTCAGGGCATCCAGTAGGCGCTGTAGCCGTAAGACAGCAGTCCCCACGGTTGGGCCCTCCTCGAACCCAATCACAGACAGCTCCAGTCGGAAACAGCCTAGAGTCTCAGCAGGACACACCTGTGGGGACAGAGTGGCCTGGTGTCTCTGGCCCAGGGCCTGATCCTAAGTCCCCACCTGCAAGGGTTTGGACTTGTAGCCTGGGACTAGCCCCTTCACTTCTGAGCCTCAGTTTCTCATCTGTTAAATGGATCTCTGATGGATTCCTCCCGGCTGACAGTCACCCATAATGTATCTGTTTTAGTTGGTTCCTCAACGGCTTCTAAATGCGGATTGTGCTAGAACAAGATACTCTAATGCCATCTGCTGGACAAACACATTAAGGATGTGAAAAGAATCCTTGCGGAGGCATGATCCCCGGTCCCACCTTCCCATCCATACTGGGCGGGCCAGTCTGCCTCAAAGGAGCAGTGTGAAGAGTAAATACAGTAACAGACCTAAAGCGCCTGGACCAGTGCGCAATGTTTACCATATGTAAGCAGTAGCTGCATCATCTGTTGCTACTATGTGCCTGGCGCCTGTCTAGGTGTCTCCAGGCTGCCGGCTGGGTCAGGGCTGGACATTCAGACCGCCAGCTCCCCACTACTGAATGAATACTCTCTAAACTTCCCATTCACTAGGGAGCTAAGGAAATACTCACCGATAGGTCATCTGGGGTGTAGAGAGTGCCATCATTTTTGTTTCCCTAGGTTTTGGGGGTAGAGAAGAAAATTAGATCTTTGAGAGAGAGAGCCTTGACCTTTCCTCCAACAAGCTCCCCCCAACCCCCCCCCCAGCGCTACCCCCTCACTTAGCCAGCCTCAGCCTGCAGGCTTCCCCTCTTCCCTCCTCACCAGCATCTTCATGATAGCAATGAGGAAGTAGAAAGGCTCCTTCCGGCACATGGGTAGTCCTAGGCCCCCCAGGGGCCACACCAGCAGGAGGATGGTCCAGAGAGCCCACATGGGCCCCCTGTCCACCCCCAGGTATTCTCTGAACCCAGCCTGGAATCCTGGAAGATAGAGGCACGGAGAGAGGGAGCAAGTTGGAAGGCTGGAGTGGGTGAGGGGAACTGTCTCCTGTCCAGCTCCACTCAACCCAAAATGTACTCCAAGAGGAAGATGGCCACCCAGGGGAAAGGATGGCCTAGGTCAGAGGAACCCTATCACCAACCCATCCCCCCCACAAGGGAGATGCAGGACTGAGCAGGTGTATGAGGACTACCCCCAAGACTGTAGAGTAGGGCGCATGAGATTTTCTGCGTTGTTATGTTCCTCACTGGAAGATACCTGTGTGGGGCCTCATCTGTATCTGCAGGTGCCTGCTTGGGGGTCTTCTAGTTCTGTCTCAAGCATCTTGGTCTTCGTGCCTGCCTGTTCCTGTCTTTCTCTGAGAGCTGACCTCTCTGTGGCTTTTGTTTCCTGAGTCCATCTCTGACTGACCTGGTGTCTCTTATTTCTCCTCTTCTCTGTTGGTCCATTCTTTGTATTTCTTCTCCATCTGTGCCTGTCTCTCTCTTGCTGGGTCCCACCTGATCAGCCTCTGCTCCTTCTTCCCTCCCCCTTCGTCCCTTCCCCTTGGAAGCTGGACTCTGGGCAGAGGAGCCTCCCTCTGGCCCCAGACTCACCCACCAATCTCCACTTGGCCTCCACCCTCCAGCCACCACACCCCTTTGAACCTTTGACCTCAGACCCAGTGCTGTCAGAGAAACTGAGGCAACTGTAGCCTCTGCAGCCCAGAGAGAGCCGCTTCTGGCTAGAAGGGCGCATAATGAAGGGTTAGAGGGGAACCAGGGGGCACCCCCGCTCTAAAATTCCTCAGTTGCAGGTTTGGGGGGCTTTGAGATAGGGTGGAGCCTAGAAAGGATGATTTGAGGTATTCTGGAGAGAGGGGGATTCTAGGTAGGGACCCTGAAGGGGGGATTCTGAAGAGGGAGTCTCTGAGGAGTGTGGGATTCTTCTACGGAGTGTGGGATTCCAGAAGCAAATTCCAGAGGAGGCAGGTACTGAGAGGAGGAGGCTCTGAAGGGAAATTCTTGGGAAAGAAAGATTTTGAAGGGGACGCTGAAAGGAACATTTTCGTGAAAGGGGATTCTAGCGAGATGGATCTGGGACTGGTGGATTAGGGAGAGGGAAGTTCCGAAGGAGGGGACGTCCAGGGAGTAGTGGGTAAGAGGAGAGGAAAATCCTGGGGCCCATGATTCAGAGGGTAGGAGATGGGCCCTAGGGTGGAAGAGACCGAGGGGAAGAGGGCCTCTGGGTGGTCTCAGAAGAGGGGTGTGGGGGGTGGCCCTCTCTAAGAGGAGGATTATTGAAAGAGGAGATTCTAAAAGGAAGAAAATTCTGCTGAGAAGTAGACTCTGGGGGAGAGAACTTTTACAGCGGTGAGTTCCCGGGGGAGGATTCTGAGCCCTGAATCTGGGGATCCGGCCTCATTTCTCTTGGGGGTTCCCGACGGAAGATTCTGGTGGAGGGTTCTGGGGGGAGGGAGCCTAGCGCGGAGGAAGGGGGTAAGAGGAGCCCCTTTTGAGAGAGTAAGACCCCATTTTACAGTGTGGGGGGGGGGAGGAGAAGATCACTAAAGACCAGAATGCAAATAAAACCCGCGGTGACCAACGATGGCCGAGGATGCGACGAGCGGCGGCTCTCCCCTCCGTCAGCGCCGCAACACCCAGGCCCCGCCCCCTCGGCCAGGGAAGTCCCGCCCCCTGACTACCGCGAGAGCCGTAAAGCGCCGTGCGGGCGCGACGCAGGGCTCAGGGCGCCTGCGCAGTCCCTGGAAAACGGCCGCGGTGGCCCCGCGCCTTCCTTTTCCGGTGGCGGCGCCGCGCGGTGAGGAGCTCGCGTCTGGACCCGCAGCCATGCCGTCCAAGGGCCCCCTGCAGTCCGTGCAGGTCTTCGGACGCAAGGTGAGCTGGGCGCCCGCGGGGAGGGCCCGCGAGAGGCCGGGGTCTGGGAGAGGCCGATGGGCAGGAATCGGGGCGATCTGGGAACCGGACCTCACGTGGCCCCGCTGTCCCCCCTTGGCTTCCGCAGAAGACGGCCACCGCCGTGGCGCACTGCAAACGGGGCAACGGCCTCATCAAGGTGAACGGGCGGCCCTTGGAGATGATCGAGCCGCGCACGCTGCAGTACAAGGTGCTGGGACTGGGGACGGGCGTCTGGGTTGAGGGGAAAGTTCCAGAAGCGAGCGTGGAATTCGGGGCGCTCCTGGATTCCGTGTATTTGGAAGCTGAGCAGTTTGATATCAACAATGTGTTGTTTAGAAGCCGAGCTGGGGGCTGAAGAATTGGGCATTTGGAGAAAGAGCTGGGTTTGGGGGGGTTTAGGAAGATGCTGGAAAAAACCGCCAGGCGGAAGATGGGAAATGTGGAAGTTTTGAAAACTGGGATATTGGAAAACGGAGCAGCTGGGGACCGGATGGCAAGGGGATTTTTAGATGTTAATGCTGCCTGAGTTTTTGCAGTAAGCTAAGGGTTCGGGTGTCATGCTAAGCTTTACTCTCTGTCCTCACTCTGGAGCCTCTGTGACTGCAGGGAGCAGTGTTTTGTTACCCAGTACGTTGTGCCAAAGATGTCAGGGTCTCGGTGAGGATTGCAGACGCCCAGTGTGTATTAAAAATGTAGCAACAGAAATATCTGTTACCTTTGGCTGTGAGAGGGGCTCCCCTTCAGTTCTTTGGCTCAGAATGGGAAGGCAAGTAGCTTCATTTCTTTGCATTGGGCTGTTCGTCTGTAAAAAGGGGATAGTTTCTACTTTAAAAGCTGCCGTGAAGATGTTACATTCTCCGTGTAAGCTTTTGGGGCCAGAGTGAGAATGCATTTCTTTATTCTTAAAATCTGTTTAAAAGTGAAGAGTAAAACCATCTACACCACAGGAGTGGTTCACATTAACTTAGTGTTAGTGTCCGAGATCCCTTTGGGTAGCAGATCGTGGGTATTGCAGTGTCCTGTTAGTGGCCGTTGGTTTATTTGAAGGTGTCGTGTGTGCAGCCTATGTTAAGTGCTGGGGACAGTGCTCAGCACTGTTCTCAGACCCTTGTAGTCCCTGGACCCAATACCGAGTACTCCAGAGGCAGGCTGGGATGGCCTTTTGGGTGGAAAAAGGCTGAGTGGAAGGGTCAGGGCAGGCTTCTGGGAAGAGATCTGTGAGCTGGGAATTCAAGTAGTTTTTAAAAGTGTCCAGGTAGAGGAAGCACCTACAAAACAATCTCACGTTGGCCAGGGGACAGCCTGGCATCAGTTGTAGTTACGTTTTCTGAAACTGATGTGAAGGCCCAGAGGGGAGGTGGACAGCCCAAGAAATGCACCTGAGGTAGCCTGAGTGGCTTCTCACTGAGGCACAAGGGGCCAGCAGTCTGAGAAACAGTCTTAAGAGATGGGAATCTGAGGCCCAGGGAGGGGCACCCACAGGACAAGTCCTCTGCCCATGCATCTTCCCAGCCCCTCCTGTGTAGAGGGAGGGGCCTGCATGATTGCCCAACCCTTTACCACTTGGGCTTAGAGGCTGGTGGTGGCTGTGGGCCCCTTGGGAGCAAGGGAACATGGCTCAGACTTAACTGATGGTGTGATCTAAAGTCCTGCTGTCACCCTTGTTCCTCTAGCTGCTGGAGCCCGTTCTGCTTCTGGGCAAGGAGCGATTTGCTGGAGTGGATATCCGTGTCCGTGTGAAGGGTGGTGGTCATGTGGCCCAGATTTACGGTGAGTCGCTGGGCACATGGGTGTAGGTAGCTGAGAGCGTGTCCCTGGCTTGGGGCCTTCATGATGTTAATCGGCCCTTTGTGTGCCTCTGTCTTTACAGCCATCCGCCAGTCTATCTCCAAAGCTCTGGTGGCCTATTACCAGAAATGTGAGTCAGTGGTTCCTCCCTGGGGGCAGGGGAGTGGCGAGTATGGGACCCGCTGTGGCACTGAGCCTGAGAGAATAGAAGGGTACTTCTGCCATGGTTTTCTAAACCTCCCCATCTCTCATCCCCAGATGTAGATGAGGCCTCTAAGAAGGAGATCAAAGATATCCTCATCCAGTATGACCGGACCCTGCTGGTGGCTGATCCCCGTCGCTGTGAATCTAAGAAGTTCGGAGGCCCTGGAGCCCGTGCTCGCTACCAGAAATCCTACCGATAAACCCATTGTGAGGCTTGGGGTTCATCTTTATAATAAACAATGGTTGTTGGATTTTAAGGTTTCAAGGACTGCTGTGGTCTGTGGGAGTGGAGTATCTGACTAAGGAGAACGTGGGCAGTGCCCCCTGCTCCTATTCTGAATTGCCCTTTCCAGAAGCTGCTGCTCTGGGGTTAGTGTGAATGGGCGGGGCAAACAGGCCTGCCCTCGATGTCCCTGCCCCTCTCATGGTAGTCCCATGTGCAGCCACGATTGGGGTAGGCGGGGCCGTGTGGCGTGGCCTGGCCTGAGTTTGTCTGCCCATCCCTTTGCTACTGTTCCAATGACTTCTGGAACACAGTAAGTGAAGAGAAACAGCTTGGGTGGGCTTCGAGGATGATTAAGGGCCCGGCCTGATCAGGACATTATTTTTTTTTTTAAAGATTTATGTATTCAAGAACTGGGGTATAGGGCAGAGGTGAGAGAATTCACAAGAGACAGAGTGGGGAGCAGAACAGCAGATTGACTGAAATAACACTGCTGAGGGGAGCAGCGGGCAAGACAGGAGAGGTCTGCCGTGCCATATGGGTAGCTAGCTCCCTTGCAGGGGATCCGACTCAGGCTACAGTGGCTGGCGACAGCTTGATGGCTGAGACTTAACCTCCCCTGTACCACCAGGGAGGCCCCTGATCAGGCAAGTTTTTTACTGTCAATCTGTAATGGCAGTGATTGAGGTGGGGGGGCCTGTAACCCCTATGGGGGTAGGAGTTCCCTTGACTGTCTTCATCCTTTAAGATGGCAACTGCCTCCCAGGGAATGACCCTCCTTACGGTGGGTGCCAGTGCTGCAGGACGTGTAACGTGGGTCAAGATAACCAGCTCACCTGTTGTGCCTGCTGGCTAAAGGCGAACGCACAGTGAACTCTCGCTACGCTGGACTGCGCAGGTGGTGAATGTTTCCACCAGCAAGAATGCTGGTGGGATGCCGGTGTGCAGAGGCAGTGCCTAGGAGTCCTGTGTTGCCTGTGGATTAAGTTGGCTTTGGTTGTCCTCCATCTGTGTGGGAAGCTGGTGCACTTTATTGACTGGGAGAGGCATCTGCCTCCATACCAGGCTTTGCAGCTGCAGCCGACCTGGGTATCTCAACTGTCTGCCCCCAGGTGGGGTCCCACACCTAACCCAATGTGGGGGTGCAGGAGAAGACTATACATATGGGCATCAACTGAAACCTTCTCAATTCACTTTATAAAAGGAACTTGGAATTGCACCTCTCTGGTGGTGCAGGGGTTACGTCTCTGCTATGAAGCTGACACCAGTCACTGCTGGGCATGAGTTAGATCCCCAACCCCTGGCCAGCGAGCTGACCCACATGGCGCAGCAGACCTTTCCTGACTCACCCACTGCTCCCCTCAGCAGTGGACTTCAATAGATCTGCCTGTTCTGTTCCCCACTCTGTCTCTGGTGAATCCTCTCACTCCCCTCACCCCCACACCTCTGGCTACACCCCAGTTCTTATATGTATAAATAAAAATAAATCTTTAAAAAAAAAAAAACCTGGAATTGACCCTCCACTCTACATAGCTCTGCACTAGCCAGTTCTGTGGCCACACGAGGCCCCTGAGCTGGGCTGCAGAGGCAGGGACACTGGCATGGTTGAGGACAGTTCTGGGGAGACACAAATCAAGTGCTGCTTCCAGATGGACAGCGGGGGATGGGTGGGGGATTATTGGAGCACCATGTAGGGGCCAGTCCAGTCCTTGAACAAACCTCCACGACCTCCTGTGAGGCTGGTAGCAGGAGGGGGCTCAAGTAACGGATGACAAACAGCCTAGTGGCAGAATAAACCAGCTCATCGCACTTTATCTTGGAGCTGGTGTTAACTGGGTTCAGCTGGCATTTATCTCAGCCTCCCAGAGGTGGCTGAGAAGACTGGGCTGCCTGTTGGAGCGCTGTGGTTCTAAGGACTGAGCTGACCACTGACAAGCTGGCAACAGCACAAAAGTTCCTGGGAGGCTCCTCTGCTGGGGGCAGAAGTAGGAAGTGGGCTGGGAATTCTGGGGCAGGTACCTGGAGGAGGGCTGAGGCTGGCCTGTGCCCGAGGCTTTTCCACAGGGTCCAAAGACCCCCTTGTTGTACTCCTGGCCTCCCTCCCAGATGCACAGCTGGGATGCATCTGGAGAGGCAGAAAGGGCTTGCCTTCCCTGCTCCAGGCCTTGCAGCAGACAGCCCCCCTCCTCCCTCCCCTGCCGCCTCCTCGAATACCGGGAATTCCGGCGCGCTGCTGGAAGCCCAGGCCAGGCTGGGAACTTTCCTTCAGCTGGGAATGTGCAGCTGGGAGGTGGAGGAGGGGAGGGCTGGCTTCAGTCCTGACCGTGGGGAGGCTGCAGTGGAGCAGGCCTAGGAGGCCTACTCAGCCCGGGCCCTGGGGCACCGCACAGTGTAATCATTCAAACCCAGAGGTCAGTGGCTCCCATTGATTGAGCCAGGCCTCATCCTGGCTACCTGACTCTGCTAACCTTCAGTTCCCTAAAGCCCTGGGAGCAGCAGGCTGCCAGCCCCACCTGCAGGGGGCGGTGTTCCCTGCTGTACCCTCACTGAGGACCTAGCACAAGACCAAGAGAACTCTGGCTTCCGCGAGGCTGGAGTCTAGTTCCAGCGCTGGCCCTTCTACATTAGGGCTAAGGGCCCTAATCCCTTAGCCTCTCCGTGCCTCAGTTTCCCCAGCTCTAAACCCCCCCCCTCATTTGCCTTTTAGGGCTGTTATGAAGATGCTGCACTGAGCTCACACAAAGTGACTAATGCCTGTGGTATGCACTCAGTACCCAATAAATCTGGGGCTTTTTTGCTGTTGTTGGCCGACTGTTAAAACTTCAGATTCCTAGGCTCCTGCCCTGGAGACTGATTCAGTAGACCGATTCGGAAACCGGGCCCTGTGATTTTAGCAACGCCCCCAGTGAGTCAGAGGTTCAGACACTTGACAGTGAGAGGTTACTACTCACTGAATCTTCCCGATCCCAGGTGGCAGGTACTGTTCTCACTTTACAGATGACAAGACCCAGTCTCAGGGAGGTAACACACCAGGTAACTAGAAAATTCAGGCGTTGAGTTCAGCCATGACACTGGTGCCTCAGACAATTCTAGGGAAGATTAAATAAGACAATGCACTAAAAGCACGAGAGGTTTTTGATGAAAGCAGCTCATGTTACCGCGGCTAACGGTGTCTCTCATGGGAGGTTACCACTGCCGGGAGGGGGCAGAAGAATCCTAATATAAAGGCCTTCTATGTCTACAACCTGAATTCTTTTTTGGGGGGGTGGGAGGAGGAGCACAGTGAAGCACTGTAGAGGCCCCAAACTAGAAAGGCAATAAAGGGATCAGATGTATGTGAGTGGGCACTGAATTAGAATATTCATGAGGGTGGGGGTGGGGAGTGGTTACCAAGAGAACTTTGCTGAGTCCCAAACCCAATCTGCCCTGGTGTTAGAACTGTTCTGTAGTATCGAGACCCCCCAAAAAAAGGACCTCCCTAGTGGTGCAAGGGGTTAAGCACAACACTGTGAGGCTATCCGCAGTCTCTGCAGCATGAGTTCGATCCCTGGCGCAGCAGACCTCTCCTGTCTCTCCTGCTGCTCCGCTTAGCAGTGTATTTTAGTCAGTCTGCCTGTTCCTCACTCTGGTGAATCCTCTCACCCCCCCACCCCCGGCCTGTACCCCAGTTCTTGTGTACATAAAGAAATAAACCTTTAAAAAAAAAAAAGGCCCAGAAAAAAACAACTGAGGATGGGTCCCGAGCTATTCAAATGGTTGGCTGATCATCCACCATGTGCTCTGGGTGGGTGAGTGGGGAGATGGCCCAGCAAAGAAGCTGATGATTGGATGAACAGGCAGAGACAGAACATGGAGGGCTGGATAGACAGGGCTGGATGGAGAAGATGGACAGGTGGGATAATGGATGAGCGGACTGATGGAAGAAGGGAGGCTGGGTGAGGAGCAGGAAGGTGGACGGATGACGAAAAGGAGAGAGATGGTTAAATACAAGGCGTATAGGTGGGACGATTGACTGGAAGACAGATCGGGAGACAGACAGCTGGGTGGACAGAAGTAAAGGTGGCTGGGCAGCTGATAACTGGCCAGGGAGGGACAGATAAGCTGGATAAACTGCCAAAAGAATGGGGACCTAAGGTTCTACTCGAAACAAAACGCGTTAACTTTCCTGGTTAGCATCAAGCACTATAAATCCTCTGAAGTCACACACCGAATTATACTGCGCCCATCCACTACGTTTTAAAAATGAGAGTCCCCCAATTTCCAGCACCACTGATTCAAGCTGCCAGACCTTCCCGTTCGTCTTCCGCCACCCCCCACTGTCTCCGCAATGGGAAATGACACGTAATTTCTCGATATTAATAAAGTATTAATGACATCCCCATTCCCCATCCTGGCGGCATTTAAGGAATAAGGGTCCTTTACCAAAGCAGATTCCAGGAGTTGCAAAGCTGCAGCAATTTTTAGACCCGTGGTCAGTGCCTGGACTTCTGGGTGAAGTTCTGAGGGTCTGTGGCATCTGGTTACAGTCCTTGCTTTCCAAGAAACCCGACATCCTGGTTCACATGTGGAAGGGGGGCGCATCGGGAGCCCCCTGGGCCCGGCGAAGGCCCACAGATTCCTGGGAGGGGGCCAAGAGAGCAGGATGGTTCAAGCGGACCTGGGCCTTGGCTGGCCGAAGCCGCCCCCCGCCCCCTACCTGGATGTTGACTGTGGTGGCGTAGCTGAGCCGCCGGGCCGGGGCCGGAGGGGGCTGGGGTTGGGGTGGTGGTGAAGGTGCCCGTGACGTGGGGGCAGAGGAGGACCAGGGGCCGCGGGAGGCCGGGGGGGCGTCTCCCCCAGCCCCTTGCCGCCTCGCCAGGCTCTGGCTGATATACGAGGCTGCCAGGTACCTCGAGAGGGCAGCAGCATTGGGGCCCAGGAGCTGACGGGTGGGAAGCGGGGGACTATGAGGTGGGGTCAAGTCTGAAGACTCTGACCTGGCAACACGTGCGACCGAGTGGCCTGCTGGCTTGGACACAACCACGGCTGTGTGACCTTGGAGGGGGAACGGGCCCTGGGGGTCCTGAGAGACTCCTTGCTCAGGCACAGGTGTGGCAGCCACAGCATGGATGTTTGCAAGGCCCTGCTCCTGCAGCAAAGGTGCAGCAGGGGTGGCCTGGAGGTACGTGAGGCCTCTCTCCTCGGGCAAAGGTGAGAGGGCTGGAACCCGGATGTCCGTGAGGTCTTGCGGCTGGGGCAAAGGCACAGCAGCTGGAACCTGACCATCTGGCAGGTCTGGGGGCAAAGATGGCGGTGTGCTGGCTATGATCTGACAGTTCAGGTGGCCTCCGTGCGCAAGTGAAGGTGAGGTACCCAGAACCCGAGTGTTGGGGGGCTCTTGTTGCAGGGGCGGTGAGCTGTTGGTTGGGATCAGATGGTCCAGGCTGCTTCCAGGCCCAAGCAGAGGCTTCGTGTGGGGCTTGCAGACCTTGGCCGGAAACTGAACATCTTCGCAGCCTTCTGGCTCAGTTTGTTGGGTGCTGGCTGGGCTCTGGCTGTCTAGGTGGCCATGCTGCTGGGGCACAGGAGTGGTGGCTACAACGAGGGCGGCAGAACCACTTTCCGGCTTGGGAGAAGCTGGTGTGGCCGGAACCTGGATGTCCACGGGGGAGCCTCGCTCAGGAAAAATGGTGGCCGACGGGTCCAAGCCGTGACCATGCTCGGGCAGGGGACTGGGATCTGGATCGTGGACTGGCAGGTGGCCTTCTTGATCAGGCAAAGTGGAAAGAGCTGGAACGTGGATGTCTGGCGGGTCTTCCCGCTCTGGCAAAGATGTGGGGGCTGGAACCGGGATGTTCCAGAGGCTGCCTTGCTCAGGCAAGGGGGGAGCAGCTGGAACTGGGATGCCCAGATGATCTGGCTCCGGTAAACGTGAAACATGCAGACCCTGGCCATCCACGCGTTCTGCCTGCTTAGACAGAGGTGTAGCAGCTTGCACTCGGGCAGCAGGGCCCAGGGGGACTGATTCCTGGGTATAGGTCAATGGGAAGGCCAGCTCACATACCAGCACGTGTCCAAAGGCAGGCAGGGGCCCTGTGTGCAAAGAAAGGAGAGGGAGTCAGGACCGGTGCCCCACCGTTGGGCCCTCTGCAAACCACACGTCTGTACTTTACCTGGCTCGGCCCGCTCACAGGGCTGGCAGGGGGGCAGCTGGGGCTGGGCCAGAGCCCGTGGCCGGCGGCGGGGGGCATTGGTCGAGGCCCGGGTCTCGGCCCGCTGCATCTGCTGGATCCGCTCGCTGTAAAGTCGGGCCAACTCTCGCACTCGGGACGCTGCCCTCTCCGAACTCTGGGCTCCGGCCTTCCCGCTCCTGCTGCCTTCTCCCAGATCAGAATCTTCTAGGATGAGCAGGGGCTCTGGGAAACCTGGCCGGGCTAGCTGCCCCTGCTCCAAAGCCTGCCAGGCGCTCCGAATTTCTGAGCAAGAACGGAATTCCAGCTCCTCCGGGAATCCCTGATCTGGGGTGACACCCGGGGGCTGGAAATCTGGAAATGATACCCCTTCTTCCTCCTCCTCCTCCTGCCCTGCTCTGCTTCCTAAAGGGGGCGCTCCCAGCTTTCCAGAGCTGCTTCCAGGGAACAGTTCTCTCCTGGGGGCCAGAGCCTCATCTGGCCCCTGCAGAGGCCCCTGTAGCCAGGAGTCCCCGGGCAGGGCGGGAGCACTGCAGAGGCCAGGAATGTCAGGAACACTGCCTATGGCTGGAAGGCAGGGTATTTCAAAAACACTGGGAATGTCGGAGAGACTGGGAAGGTGGGGAATTTGGGGAATTTCAGGAAGGTTGGGCACATCAGGAATTGTGGGAAGGCCGGGAATGTCGGGCATTTCAGCTGCACTGGAACCGTCAAGGCCCTCGAGGACATGGAGCGGAGACGGCCCCCGTTCGTCCACCTCCTTCTCCTCCTCTTCCTCTTCCGAAGAGTCCCGGCTGGGCAGGGCTTGGAATGCGAGGGTTTCGCGGTGGCCTGGCATCTGGGCGTCTCCGGGGAACTTGGGAATGTCGCAGGGGGGTGGCTGGAGTGAGCACTGGGAAAATGCCAGGGGTCTCGGCGTGGGTGGGCCCACCTGCCCCCGCACTGTGCCCAGGCCGAGCGCCCCAAGGACACGGTGATGGGATAATCGACTCACCCCCGGATCCCGGAGGCCTCTTTGGTTCAGCAGTTCCAGGATTTCTTCAGTGATTGAGGTCCCAGAAGGCTCCAGCGTGGGGGGTCCAGTGTCCTCCAGGTCCTCCGGGGGGCCAGGGGCTGGAACTGGTGGCTGAGGCTCTAAGGGGGGGTAGAGCTCCCCCTCACTGCCAGCATGCTATGAGCAAGGAACGAGGAAGTGAAGGCCCGGACTGCCCACCCTCGCCCCTTTCTCCCAGGCCCAGCCCCCAACTCCCTCAGATGGAGAAACCCAATGCCAGGCCCGCTTCTTATTCAGATGTGGGACTCTGAACTCAAGCTCCCTCCTCCCTCAGACCCAGAGGTCCAGGGCCACAGAACCTGCCCCACGGTTTCTCTTACCTTAAGTCTGGGCTTAGCTGGGGGTGGAGAGATGAGAGCGAGAAAAGAGAGAGAGGTGGAGGCAAGTGTTACTCCTGTAACAGACGAGCTGCCGTTACCCCTCCCCCGTGCACGCCCATGGGGAGATACAGCCACAAAGACAGACCAGGTTGGGCTGGGGTGTCACTTACAGTTTTGGGGAAGCACGACAAAAGGGTCTTTCACAGGCTCTGGGGGGAGGACACAGTGATGTCAGGGCCCAGCTCCCCCGAGACCTCTGGGTCGCCCCTGGTGCTGGGTACTCACCCGACTGTCTGCGGCTACGGCGGGTGGCAGGGCCTGGAGACGGTGCTGCAGGAGACAAGTCAGAACCCCTTCATGAGGCCCGCTCCAGGCTCCCGGAGGAAGGAGGGGGTGCCAGAACACAAGGCCCCATCTCCTTTACCTGTGTTCCTCCGTCCAGGAGTAAAACTCCTAGCATCTCGAGGTTGGGGAGACCCAAGTGGGGGTGTCAGGGGCTCTGGGGCATTTTTACTTTTAGGAGCACCTGCAGGGAAAAACTTGGTGGTAATAAGCTACTTTTATTTATTTATTTAACTTTTTTTTTTAAGACTTATTTATTTTATTTATACAAGCACTGGACACAGTCAGAAGCGCGGGCGGGTGAGAGAATCCACCAGAGCCAGAGCGGGGAGCAGAGCAGGCAGAAGGACCGAAGTACACTGCTGAGGGGAGCAGCGGGCGGCAGGAGAGGTCTGCGCGCCATGCGGGACCCTCCTCCGGTGGCCGGGGAGCAGCCGGGGATCGAACCCGCGCCGCAGAGGCTGTGGGCAGCTTCAAAACCCAGTGCTCAACCGCTGCGCCACCGGGGAGGCCCTAAGCTACTTTTACACGGAAGTAATTCCTCTACACGCTATCCTCCAACCCCAGGCCCCAACTCACTGTGCAGGCTGTTTTCAAGGAGAACTTGTTTTGCCTGGAAGAGATGAGCATGGGAGTTGAGAAGGCAGGTCGGCACCCCAGTCACCGTCCCACAAATGGCTGCTGCTACAGGTCAGGTGCTTTATATGGTTGATGATAATAAACCCTCACACCACAGCCCTATGAAATTGGTGCTATTATTCTTCCAGAAGAAAAAACCGAGGCCAGAGAGATTAAGTTACCTACCCAAAGTCAGAAAGCAGGGACATGGCAAAGCTGGGATTCAAACCCAAGTCTCACTTTAAGTATCCTATGTCCCAGTCTGACACGGCACTTAGGGTCTCTCCAGTGCAATGGGGGGTGTGCAGGGCTGTCTCCAGCATTCCCAGGGCCCCCAGCTATGGCAGGAGCTGTACCTTGGCAGGAAAGGAGGCAGGATGGTTCTCAGAGAAGAGGCGCTGGAGATAGTGAATCCACAGCCTCTTCTCTTCTTGGTTCTTGGCCTGGGGGTGGGTGAGGTTGGAGCTGGAGCCAGGTTTGAGGTCTGGGGGGAAGCCCCGCCCACCAGCCCTACCCTGTGCTCACCTGCAGCAGGTGCCTGTGCTTGGGTATGGTCAGATCAGACACCTTGAACCCTAGAGGGTCTCGAGGATTCTCACTCACGCTCAGGTTACAGCACTGGATGAGAAGTGAGTGGGTTGGGGGAGAAGAGAGCAGAGCCCTTAGGCTCAGCTATGTATCCCTGTATATATCTGGGTGTCCCTCCCGCTAGAAAAACGGGCCCCACAAGTTGCAGGGTGGAGCCCTTTCCCTCTGCTGACTTCCCACCAGGCTGGGCTCAACTCTAACCACCAGTCCCTCCCCACCCTGGTGGGAAAATCCAGGCCCTGCCCCCACCAACCCCCGCTGGCTCCACCCCTTCTCATTAAACCTTGCTTCTGTCCTCGGATTCAAGAAAACCTAAACCCATTTAAGGGGGTCCTTGCAGACACCGCCGACCCCCAGCCACCCCTCCGCGTATACAGGTACAGATGCGTAGAATAGACCTTGCAGGTAACATTCTGCCCCATCCCCATCCCCGAACTCACAAAGATGTGGCCCTTGTAGGTGTATTCGGGGCCCCGGCGCTTGGCCACCAGCAGCATCCGTGAGAAGAGGAAGAGCAGCCGCTCACCCCCGCGGAGTCGGGGGCCGCCACCTCCACCACCTCGGAACGCACCCTCCAGCACCAGCTCCCCAAAAGCACTGAGCTCCGGGCCAGCCCAGCCGCCTAGCCGCCGCTGCACTTCCTGCAGGAAGGACCCCAGCAGGCACATCGGGCACAGAGCAAGACAGGTGGGTGGCATGGGGCGGGTGTGTGTGCGTGTCAGTAACCAGGCACTGTCCACGCACCCCTTTCAAGGCTCTCTCTCTGAAGTACTGACGGCCCACCCCACCCCCACCAGGAAGGCCCTGTGCCCGCTCCCTCCAGCCAGCCAGCCCCAGCCCACCCGGGGTCACCTGCAGGCGCGCAGCATGCTCCTGCTTGCGCTTCATGTCGTTGATGTACCAGGCCACCGCCGTCATGGACACGATGGCCTCCTCTACCATCTCACGGCCCCCAGTGCCTGGGCCCTCTGCCCAGTGCTTGCCTAACTCCTGCCAGTCAGTCACCAGGCACCCAGGCCGAGGATGGGGAGGAAGAACAATAAAGAGACAGAAAAGCACAAAGGTGAGGCAGAAACGGAGACAAGAAACGAAGCAACAGGCAAAGATGCAAACCAGCCGGTGCTGACCCCCACCCTCAGCAGCACCCGACCCCAAGCCTGGCCCACTTCTGGAGACCAGATGCCTCTCCGGGCCTTGCCCTGCCTGTGGTGGGTCCACCCTCCACATGCACCACCAGATGACCGATGGGCAGGACCCTGCCTTCCCCACGCACCCCCGGGGCTGCGGCTGACCTGCAGCAGCAGATGGTACTTGAGGATACGCTGGACGGGTTTCAGCAGGAAGCTCTGCAGGGGCAGCGAGTGCTGGAGCTGGGCCTGGCGCTTCTGCAGCCACAGCGCTGCTGGCGGGGACAGGGAGAGCTCCCGGAGGAGGGCCAGGGAGCTGGGGGCACAGCACCGGTCAGGGGCACTGGCAGCTCCGGTGGGCACGAGTGGGCGGGGAAGGGTTGGGTTTGGGGAGGGTCAGGGGTAGGTTCGGGAGGAGTGAGTTACTGTCCCAGTCTGGCAGGAGTTAGGTGGGTTGGGGAAGGAGGAGACAGGCTGGGATGTCAGCTCGTGGGCACGGCCGGGGTGCCGTGCCCCTCACCTCGGGTAGTTCATGCAGTACCAGGTGTAGATGTCAAAATCCTCACTCTGCAAGTGAGACGGGAGTCAGGGGAACCTCCCCATGAAGTCCCTCCTGCCTAGCACAGGCCAACTCCCCTCCCTTACCCAACCCCACCCTGGGCAGGGTGACCCCTTCGATCTGACTCACCCTCTGCACGAAGCACTCAGCAATGCCCCCCGCGCTGCTGCTGCCCTCCAGGTCCTCCAGGAGCTCACTTTGGGGGAAAAGGGGAAGGGTGAGGCCGGCCGGGCCCCACAGGCCCCCAGGGTAGGATCCCAGGGGGCAGATATCCCAGTCCTTGGAACTGGCAGCTTGGTGGCTGCGAGGTGCTCAAGCGGGGGTCTCTGATCGCTATGTGGAAGATGGCAACCTGCTCACACCTTGTCCTTGGACAGCTGAGATCTCATCACAGCTGGCGTGAGTCTGAGGGCCTTGGCTGCACGACCCAGCCAGGTATCAAAACTCTCGAAGCAGCGACGATCTTAAGATCCTACAATCTTATCTTGACTCCCAGGCCTCCCGTGGTATCTTAAGACCTCGTGGAGACAGCCAGAGAGGTGGTGAACCCCAGACCCTGGCGCCCTCCGCACTAGAGGGCCATCCATGCTGGTCTGTCAGGGACTCGGTTTTCCCAGGACAGGTGGGTTGCACAAAGGTTTGTTCGCGCGGTCCTCGGGTTCATCAAGGTCCAAGACCTGACAGCCCTCGGATCCCATCCTGATGCCTGGCCTGCCCCAGTATTTGGACCTCATCCGGGTCCTCGGGCTCCCCCGCATCATGATCCCTGCCCAATGTCACCCAACTCCAGGTACCTGCCTGGATGGAGCACTGTGGCGCCCCAAGGTTTGAGTCAGGACATTGCCTGCCTCCCACCCCCAACAGTCAGCGCCCCTGCCATCCAATTAGCCTCTGACCTGCTGAAGTCATAGATGTCCTCGATGTTGGCAAACAGCGTGCCCACCTGCTCCGCACTCAGTCCCAGGACCCCACCATCCAGCAAAGGGCCCAGGTAGTCCTGTGGGGATGACAGGGGTTTCAGGGGGAGAGGGACTGGCCTGGATTCCCAGTTCGCTCAGGCGCCCCAGCCTCACCTCCACGATGCTGCGGAGGTCCCGGACATAGGCCCGCTCTGTCTCCACAATTTCACGGGCTACACGCTCCAGCCTCGAGGGTTTCGCCGAACTCTGGGTCCCCATGGGTGACAGATGCAGGCGAATGGGGGGCCCTGGAAGGGGCTCTGGCCTGGAGGCTGAGCAGGCTGGGGTGGGCCCTGGGGCCGGGTCCCCCTCAGAGCCCACCGTGCTCAGGGATGTGGAGCTCCCAGAACCTCGGGGGGAGGCCATGGCAGGGGTAGTGGGGGCTGCTGCGGGTGTGGAGTAGGAGGTCAGTGGGTCTCTCCAACTGGGGGAGTGCTCTCAGCCCCCACACTCATTCACACCTGGTCAACATCTTCCCCAATGCGCTGCGCTGATCCAATCCTGTCCTCTCCCATCAGGCTCCTCTCAGCTTTTGGCCTCTAATCCACCTCGATGCATCAGCCTGGGAGATCTTTTTATCAATTTGTCCATCTGACTGTTACTCCCCTGAGTATAAGCCCTTTGTGCCCTCAGGAAGAGTCCAGAGGCCCCTGTGCAACAGTGCCAGTAGACACGGTCCAGCGGCTTCTTCCCCCAGGCCATTCTAGAGTGAATGCCCCTCGACTTTTTTCAGTCGCTTAAATAAGCAAAGCAGCCTCCTCTCCCCTCTGTGTCTTTGCACACACTGTTCCCTATGTGCGGACCAGTTTTCCTTTCCTTTTCCAGCTCACTCCTCGGCATCTTTCATTTCGCAGCAGAGATGTCCCCTCCTCCAGGAAGCCTTCCTTGACCTCCCAGACTGGGTTCCCACTGTCCCCTGGGCTTTCCCTATTCTAGTCCTGAGCACTCTGCTCTGGCACCCCCCTCTCAGGACAGTCAACTTCTGGGGTAGTCTCCCCCACCAAATTTGGAGTTCTGGGGGGGAACATCTGGGCTATGTGGATCATCCAACCTTGCCAGCATCGCCCAGCCTCAAAAGGAGGGGGAATGTCCAGCAGGCCCCACCCCTCCCGTGCAAGCTCACCTGTGCGAATGTCACACCCAGCAGCACAGTCACACACTTCACCTCCGCGGGCACGCCCAAGGCTGGGGCTGGCTTTGCACTGGCTCCGTCCGAGGGCTCCCTCGGGCATGACTGGAGGGCTCCTCAGCGGTCTGCAAAGACTCCGGGCTTGGGTATCAGGACCCTTCACAGATCGGGGGCCGAGAATTAGAAGTGTGGGCTAGGTCTAGGGAGGACCCCCCGCCCCCGAGTTGCTGAGGAAGGAGACAGGAGCAAAGTGGCAGAAAAGGGGAGCCGGAGGACGAAAGAGAACGTAGAGGAAGGGACGGGAAGGCCGAGACAAAGAGTGGCGAGCGCCCGAGCGCAGAAGCCGGGCGTCTGGTCCGTCCGGGGCCGGAGGCGCAGGAGCCTGGGAACGCTCGGTCTCCGCTGGAAAGAGGGTGAGGGGCAGGGCTGGGAAAAGCCGTGGGCGGGAGGCCGCGGGGTCCCAGGGGAGGGCGGAGGAGGCTGGGGGACCGGATGCCAGGGTCCCGCGGCAGGCGCCCTCCCCCGCCGAGGGCTGCGAGTTGGGGCGCTGGCCCCGAGCCGTAGGCGCCCCGCTCCGACCCGCCCCTCCCTCCGAGACCCGCTCGCGGTCCGCGGCGCCCCAGGCGCCCCTCAACCCACCGGCCCCGGGCTCCCGCCGCGCCTCGGCTCGCCCCCCGCCGGCACGCCCCCTCATTGTTCAGCGGCGGCGGCGCCGCCCCCTCCCCCAGCCCGAGGGGCCCCTAGTTTCCCTCCTCACCTCCCAGGGAGCCTCCAGCCCCGGTCGGTCGAGGCAGCCGGGTTCCTACTCGACTTTAGCTCGACCCCCGGGGAGGCGCGGAGCCGGGACTCGGGGCGCTACAGGTCAGGGGCGTGAACTTCGGGGCTCCGAGGTGCCGGGAGCCAGAATCTGGGGTCTGTCGAAGCATGGGGTACAGCGGTCGGAATTTCTGGGTCCTCTTAATGGGGAGTGCTGCTCCCGCGTCTCAGATGTGGAAACTGGGGGCCGGAGTTCTCGAGTCTTCCCGAGAGGGCCGTGGGGGGCCGGACTCGACTCCCGCTAACTCGGGGGGCAGGGGCGAACTACCTCCAGAAGGGAGCGCAGGGCAGCCCCAAATTCCTGGACCCCCTCGAGGCGGTGGGCACCTCGGCCCTAAACCAACGGGCTCGGGCACCAGGAGTCCGCGCTCCAGGTCCCTCCGCCCCGGGAGTCTTCCCGCGACTTTCTGGGGGCCCCCGGGGGGTCTCCGGTCTGGGGTGCCGATTTCCTCAAAGCCGGTTTCTTCGAGCTGGAGGCGCTCGGCTTTCAGGGTCTCCGGGGCCGAAGCCCCAGACTCCCGGCTCCTCCAGGAGGGGGCGCAGGGCACCTGGATATCTGGGGTCCGCTCGCTTGGACTTCGGGTCTCTCAGAACGGGGTGCGGAAGTTCGGGACGCCGCAGACCGCGCCTGCGGGCCTCCGTGGCCCCGGGGTGGGCAGCTCCGGGGTCCCGCGGCGCCACAGCCGCGACGGGCGAGTCTGTCCCAGCTGAGGGGCGGGGGGCGGGCGCCAGGGGCTTCCCCTCCCCCTCCCAGCCGCCCGGGCTCACATCCTGTTCCCGCCCGCGGGGGGGAGGGGCCGCCTTCCGGCCGCCCGCCAGCGAGGGGTTAAGACCCCGCCCACTCCGCCCCGCCGGGATTTGAATATTCATGAGGGCGGGGCCCAGGCTGGCGACACCGCCAACATTCCACATGCCTCGTGGACTTTTCCCTTTTGCAGCGGGAGCCGCGGAGCCGTGAGAATCCGGAACTCGTAGCGCACTTTCCCCCGCTGACCAACCACAAGGTTGCTGCTCGCATATGTAATGGGAGGCGGGGCTGTCCGGCGGGGGTCACGTGGTCAGAAATGACTGAAGGATCCCGCGGCGCAAGGGTGCGGCCGGAGCTCCAGTGGCGCAATCGGTTAGCGCGCGGTACTTATATGGCAGTGCGGGCGGAGCGATGCCGAGGTTGTGAGTTCGATCCTCACCTGGAGCACTCTTTTCTCTCCTTGGTAGTCAGCTCTATACAAATCCGTAATTTTAATAATCGTCCAAAACCTCTACATCACTTAGAAGAATGAACATTTCGATTTTCGAGCCAGAAAGACTCGTGGAGCAGGCGGCGGCCGCCTAGAGAGTTGTGCTGTGGGAAGGTGCTGTTTCCGTCCAGGCCGCCAGGGGGTAGCATCGCTTCTAAGATGCCTGGACGTTCTAGTTGGGTCTGCAAATCTCAGTTTAAGACTTCCGTAGGTGTGTGGACTAGCCCCACTGTGTAGGTACTGCACAGCCTCTTTCTGCGTCTTGCTCAGGCTTGGAGTCCCCTCCCTCCAATTTTATTGCGATACAATTACCGTATCATTATGTTAGGCCAAGGTGCACAACATGATTTGTGTGTATTTTGAGAAATGATTACCACAATGTTAGTATCCATGACCTCACGAAGTTACTAATCTTTTTTCTTATGCGCCTTGAGGTTTTGTTTTTTTTTTAAAGGTTTATTTATTTATACAAGCACTAGGTACAGTCAGAAGCGCGGGAGGGTGAGAGGATTCACCAGAGTGGGGAACAGAACAGGCAGACCGACGAAGTACACTGCTGAGGGGAGCAGCGGGCGCGGCAGGAGAGGTCTGTCGCGCCATTTGGGACCCTTGCCGGGCAGCCAGGGATCAAACTGGAGCTGCAGAGGCTGCTTCGCAGCCCTGCATTCAACCGCTGCGCCACCAGGGGAGGCCCCTTGAGGTTGTTTTTTTTTTTTTTTTAAGCTTAAGCAGGACAGGTTTATTAGTAAAAGAATCTTAAAGACACAAATGGGCAGAAAAAACTGCCTCTGATAAGGACAGATTTGTTAGACAAGAAGCCGGCATAAACCCGGGCAAGATAAGAACTACTGGCTTGAAATTTTTTTTTGGGGGGGGGCGTTGAAATTTTTAACTCTCTTGACCCTCTTCATTTCTGAATCGATCTTTTTTTTTTTTTCTTTCGATTTTTTTTCAAAAACAAATGCCAGATATTCAGTATGTGATGAGCCCTTGTTTAGACAAAGCTCCTACCCCTGGGGATCTGAGTACAAGTTATATGTTACATGGTGGTAAATGTCATGGAAAATGTAGAGCAAGCTAAGGAGGACAGGGGAAGTTGGTGGTGGGCTGTAGGTTGTGTTAACAGTCAGGGACCATCTAACTGAGGAAACATTTGAGCAGAGAACTGAAGGTGAGGGGTGAGTCATGAGGCTACCTGAGGGGGGGTGTGGGGGGGGGTAATTTGTTCCAAGCCTGTGCAGGGGCTGGTGGAGCAGCACAGAAGCTAGAGGACTACAGCTACAATGACCAAGGATGGGATCCAGGCCGTGGAGGACTTTGGCTTTTGCATATCTGACTCAGGTGTGATGACACGTTCCTTTGGGGTGTCCAGTGTGAGAACCAGGAGACAAGGGAGAGGCTAAGTTTCAGGTGGGAGATGATCCCAGACAGGACCAGAAGACTCAGGAGGATGGATTGTAGCTATTTTGAAGGTGATTCAGCTGTTTGGCTTAAGTACGAGCTTGAGAGGGTCAAGGAGACTCCCAGGTGTTTGGCGCTGGTGGTAGGTGCCATTTTAAAAAATAAGTTTTTTTTTTTTAAATAGGCAGACAATCTGTTTTTGCTAAGGGAGGGACCAGAGATGTCTGCTGTTAATTCAGTGTCTGTAAATATTCCTGCAGATTCTCTGACTTTAGTTCCAGTTTCTTTGCGTCTCTGTGTATCTTCCTCAGTCCTCTTCCACTAAGGGGACTCAGCCCTTTCCCATAAGGGGCCAGTTGGCTGGAATTGGCCATCAAAGGTCAGGGCGTGCCCATGGGGAAGGGGACCAGGCAGGAGGCCTGAGGCAAGAATAGACAAGGGGGGCCTCCCCGGTGGCGCAAGGTGTTAAGCACCGCACTGTGAAGCAATCCACAGCCTCTGCAGCACGAGTTCGAGCCCCAGCCGACCAGGGAGCTACCCACATGGCTCCTGTCTCCCGGCTGCTCCCCTCAGCAGTGTACTGCTCCCCACTCTGTCTCTGGTGATTCCCCTTCCCCCCACACCCCTCTGGACCACACCCCACTTCCTGTATGCAGAAATAAATGAATCTTTAAAGAAAAAAACAGGACTGGAGAGGAAGTAGAGAGGGGAGGGACAGGGCTGGGAGAGGGAGCGGAGGGGAGGCAGAGCCCAGGGCATCAGGAGCCAGAGGGCAGGCAGGGGGAGGTGGGCAGGGGAGGACGAGGTGGACTGAAGCCAAGTATAGTGGAGAGGGAGAGGGAGAGGAGTGGTGGCGACGAGAGGGGCTGGAGACGTGGAGGCTGGAAGGGCAGAAAACGGGGCGCGGGAGCGAGACTGGGGGAGGGGAAGCGCGGCGAGGGCGGAACCGCCGGGCGGGGCGGCGCGGGAGGGCTCGGGGAGGAGGAACTGAGGGGGGGAGGGGAGAGGGCCGTTGGGGGGTGGGGGGGCGAAGGAAGAGGGGGAGGCGGGGCGGGGGGCCGGGGCGGGGGCGGGGCGCAGGCACTGACGCGGGGCGGCTTCCGGGCGCGGGGCGCCGAGCTCCCCCCGCCCCAGGGTGGTTCCCGCCGCCTCTTGCCTTGTAAGGTCCGAGGACGCGGCTCCGCGGGGGCCCCGCCCCGGCGCGGCGGCGACCCCACACCCCGGCCCCGCGCCCGGCCCCCCGGCCCGGCCGGAGCTGCCGCCACTCGGCGGGGCCCAGACCCCGAGCTCCCGGGCTCCTCGAGGCCCGCCGGCCAGGACTGCGCACGGCCAAAGTTTTCGGGTCCCGGAAAGCCCGACACCCACGGCCCTCCGCGACTCCCAGGCGTGCCGCGGCCGGGGGCGGAGCACCCCAAGTCGCCGAGAGTTAGCCGAGATTCCGGATCGTTGAGATTCCAGAATCTGGGGCTTTAAAAACTGCCCTCCCCTCCCCGAACCCGAAAGCCCGAGTGCCCCCGACTCCAGCCCAGAGGGCGGGGTGCCGGGACCCCGGGCTTCCGAGGCGCCCCCGCCCCCCCCCGCGGCGCGCCCCCGCCCCCGCGCGCCCGGGCTGGCGCCCCGGCACATTCCGTCCTCCCCGGCCCGCCCCTCCCTCCTCGGCCCCGCGGGGACGGAAACATCCCGGCCCCGCCCGCCCGCCCGCGGGCCGGGTCAAGGAGCCCGGCAGGACGGCAGCGCCCGCGCCCCCCACGCCCCGCGAACTGGCTCTCCCGGTTCCTACCCGGTGACTTCACCTGGCCCCGCCCCCTCAGGTGAACGGCGGGGCCGGTGACGTCACTTCCTGCCAGGTAAGCGCCGTGGGCGGCTCGGCCCTGGAAGATAGCGTCCGACTCCCGAAAAGAAAGAAAAAAAAAGGCCCCACTAATCGCCCCCACTCGTCGCTGCCTCTAGCCGGCGGAAAAGCCAGGATTCCACATTACACGCAGATTTCTTTTATTTAAAAATTTCGAGAGACACAAAAATAAAACTTTAAGATAATATATTAATATATTATTATAGTATACTTATAATAATAATAATTTCGTTTCCAATATTACAAAAAAAGGAAGAAAAATACACGGGAAGCAGACGACCCAATATATATAAATACTATAAAACCTTTCAGAATAAATAAAGTCGTCATAAATAAAGGGCGCAGTGCCTGGGGGCAGGAGGGGGAGAAGGGATTTGGCAACGACGTTTTGGCTACTTGATTTGAGGGAAATCTCAGCACCAGGGTTCCCCCTTGGAAGGCTCCTGTCACCATCAGACACTACAACCTCAGGGGATAGGAAAAATTGGGAGAGGGCGGTGAGGGCCTGTTATTCACAGCACTGGGTAGGGGAGAGGTGGGGAGAAATGGGGGTTCACTGACTCCCTCAAATTTGCTACATTAGACAAAGATCCCAGAAAACACTCCTTCCCCCAACACCATGGACACTGAGCTTGCTTGCACACCAGGGGCCTGCCCCAGTGTGTGGTTAGGAGAGGGTTAATGCAATTTGGAAGGTGCAGCTAGAGGCTACATGAGTACCCCCGCCAGCTCCCCACAGTCCCTGGGGTCCCTGTGGTGCCCACAGCACAAGAGAAATGCACCCCTCCTTGAGATCCAGCTGATCTGTACCCAGCAGGCAGTTGTCACTCAGAAACGGAAATTCGATTGAAGATGGGGAGCCGCCGGGACGGTGCAGGTGGCTGAGGAGGCCCAAAAACCCCAGCCTCAAAGACTGGCGACTCAGACCCCCCCAGGCTGCTGCCGCTACTGGCATATTCGTCGGGATCAGATCCCAGGGAGTGTGCGGAAGGACTCCGAGCCAGGCTACCCAAGGGCCCGGGCCCCCAGACACTGCTGGGGTTGGCCCTTCTGCAGGAGGGGCAACAGGCAGGGGCGGGGTCCCTTCGGGCCACAGGGGTTCCTGGGGCTGCCGAGAAGGCAGAGGGTGAAAGTGGCAGATCCCCAGGTGGTGGAGGTGGGGAACTCGAGGGCGAGAAGGAGCAAGAGGACAAGGAAGGCCCCGCCAGGCCTGCTGGTGGTGGTGAGGTTCGGCGGCCAGAGGGCAGGCCCGAGAAACTGATGCTCTGGCGCAACACATGAGGGTGGCCAGGGACAGCTAGGTCCTCGCTGGGGTTGTGGATGAAATGGCAGCGGGAGCCATAGGGGCAGCCCCCCTGGAGGTAGAACTTGTGGCAGAGCTCTGTCTTGTACTTGGGGTGGCGACTGGCCTGGCGGAGCTCACCTAGGCCGTGGGCAAACTGGCATTTAGCCCCGTAGCGGCAGCGTCCGCTCTCAGAGAAGGTCCGGCATAGCTCAGTCTTGTAGCGGGAGGAGGTGGTGGGGGCTGAAGTAGGCGAGGTGGGAGAGGGCGACAGTTCAGGGCCAGGACGGGGAGCCAGGGGTGCGAAGCCTGGGGGTGGGGGCACCCAACCGCAGCTTCGGCCCTCCACCAGACTGGTGGAGCGGCCGGGCAGACGGGCAGCGACCCCAGCCGGGCTGGAGTCGGATGAGCTGAGGCTCCAGTGGCGCGAGGAGGCCCAGCCTGGGCTGGACTCGGTCTCTCCGTGGTCGGATGGCAGTTCAGGGCTCAGCGACAGAAGGCTCTGTGGGAACAGGGATCGGTTAAGACACCGAAAATGTAGGGTGACGCTCCGCCCCAGCTGCAGGGCACCTAAGAGCTTGCCAGTCCGGTTTGTGGGCTCCTGCCCTGAGCCCCACCCGTCCGCAGAAACCCCTGGGTTTGGAATCACAGGGATCCGGATTTGGAGGTTCTGAGTTTACAGCAACTGAAGCCTGTACCAAGCGAGACCCAGAAATCCCGGGTCCCTTGGCAGGATTAAGAAGGGATCCCCAAGTCAGGGCACAGCACTGTCCTCCAATATTGAGGCTCTGGGCCTCTCCGGATCTGACCCCGTGCCCCGGTCTCTCCAGTTTCACAACTGGAGGGAGGAGAGGGCAAAGTTAACTCAGGAGTCCGTATCTCTTCGATCTTAGACTTCCCAAAGACTCGCGCTGGTCAGGGAGCGAGGAGGAGAAGTTTGCTTCCCATCACCCGAAGACTTACAGCCCCAGAACCTCCTCCGCGCGCAACCGCGCCCTCAGCAACTACTAGGGGTAAACCAGGTGTGGGGCCATTTCCGCCTCCAGAGAGCCCCAGTCTGAGAAAAGTCCTCCAGCCTCCCATCCCCACGGGCCACTCCACCCAATTTGGGGCTGAAAGTCGCGGGCTCCATTTCAAATCCAGGGAGGCGCACTGGGGGGGGGGGGCTCGGACACCCGGACAGAGGGTGCGGCGCTGGGGAGCTCTACTTTGAGGAAGCAGCCAGGGGTCCCGGGCCGGAGTTTGAGGTGCCAGACTAGGAAGTCTGGTGCGGACCTTCGGGGCGCCGGCCGGCGGGGACTCACCTCGTAGATGGCAGCGAGGTCCATGGCGGCGCGGATGGCCGATCGGCTGAGAGACCCGCGGAAAGTGGGAGCGCTGGAATCAGGCTGGGGCCGGTTAGCCGAGCCCATGTTTTTATGAGCGAGGAATAGGGCGGGGCCTTCACGGAGGGGCGGGCGCTTCCCGGACGCGCCGGCGCTGCGCGGATCCCCGAGTGTTTTCGTCTGCCCTGCTGGGGCTGAACCCGGCCCACTGGGGGCTGCGACCGGGCGGGGGGGGGAGGGTGCGGGGAGGGGGTTGTCGGCTCCGTAGGCCGGGCTGGAGACTGAGGCGCGGGGAGGGACCTGGGACGGAGGTGGGGGCAGGGCCCTGGGGGAACTGACCTGACCAGGGCAGAGGCCGAGAGGGCGCGCGCGCGCCAGGGGACAGGGGCGGGAGGGTACCCCGAACGCCCGAGAAACGTAAAGACACTCACACACACACACACACACACACACTCACTCACTCACACACGGTGGACAGAGGAGGGAAGGTAAGAGAGACATAAAAGACGTGATACACACACACTCACGCACACGCACACAGACGGTGGGCAGCGGAGGGAAGGTAAGAGATAAAGACGGAAAAGACGATACAATCCCAGAGAGAGGAATTCAGAGGAAGGAGCTAGAGAGAGGGTCACCTACAGAACCAGAAAGGACGAGGAGAAACAGACAGACACCCGCAGGGGCCAGTTGGAGAGGAGACCACAAGGCCTGGTGGAGAATTGTTTTCTGAGACCTGTTTGGTGGGGTTTTGCCTCCAAACACCCCACACCGCCAGAGCCCTGGCCGGCTCTCCTCACCCCCCAAGGCGGGGCTGTGGTCCTCACGCCCTGGAGAGACTGGACGGGAGGCCTCACGCGCAACTCCCAGGCTGTGGTGGCCTCTCAGGCTCCTGCACACTAACAACGCTCTTCTGCTCCCTTCCTCCGGGCCAGGCTCTGTTCCAGGACTTTACAGACGTTAACTCAAGGAGGTGCCTCTATGCTCGCTTCGCCCACCAGGAAATACAGGCGTAGAGTTCAAGTTCCTCTTCTAGCTCCAGAGAGCAATGGCAGCGGCCTACCAGGCCTTTGACGGTATTGTTTGTCCTCTGAGAAAACTCAGGATGGGGAAGGTGAAGCTCTTTTATTATGGTGGGGAGTTGCCTTGCTGGAAATCTGTTTTGAGATGCGGGGTCATCCCCTAATAGTCTCTCTGGCGATAAGTCTACTTTGGGGGAGCCACTCCCCACGCTGGGGTTGCCCTGGGTGAAACTCTCCAGATCTGGGGGAGACCTGATTATTGAAGAGGGCCTTGGCGAGCCGGTTGCCCTGAGAATACCGGGGTAGACATCGTTGCACTCACGATGATGGAAAGTTCATTCTCGAAGTCAGCGCCTGCCTGTACTGAGGTGGGGAGTTTCTGTCACACACGCCGCCTTGCCTCTTTGGACACAGCCTGGGGGAATCCCTTATGCGGCGCTTTCTGGGGCGGCGGGGCCTTCCCGGCCGGTCCCGTGAGCGGGGCGGTCCGGCACGATCGCAGCCTCCGCTCCCCCGTGAGTCACTCGCAGGGGCGGGGGGAGGGGCGGCTTCCTGGAACCGCGACCACGAGGCCGGCCCGGACGCCCGGGTTCCTCTCCTGTAACCAGGGCTCCTGGCGTGTGTAAACAGAGCCTCGAGGACAAGGGGCAACGGGGAGGTGCCTGGCACCCGTCTCCCGGCCGGGCTCCAAAGTCTCGGGGTGCTGGTGGGACTAAGACTGCGGGAAAACGGGAGGTGGGGGATACCCGGGGGTCCCGGGAGCCCCATGCGGCCGCGGTCCAGGAGGAGGAATTCCAGTCTCGGTTCCTAGGAGACCGGGAGCATTTCCCACCCCTGAGTCAGGCTGATCCCCCCCCCCCCCCACAACTTTCTGCTGAGTCACCCGCCCGACAGCTTGGGCGCTCGGGATTGATTGGGCCGATGCTCAAAGAGGAGGGAGGGGGGTGTCGCGCCCGGAAAGACCGACCACTCACCCCAACACTGAAGGGTGGGAGCCGGGAGCCCGGGCCTCACCCCTCCTTGCTGGAGTCTAGGTCCCCGGGTCCCCCAAGCGGCCTCTTAAGACTCAGGAGACCCGGCCCCTGCTCCCCGCTTTCCGCAGGTCGAGGAGCCCCGGCCCGGGACTCACCTTTACTCTCAGACCCCAGTCTGGGCCCCAGCCCCCTCCTTCCCCCCGGTTTCGGGGTCAGGCCCCCACCCCGCGCCCCAGCCCGGGAGGAAGTTCAGGGCCGAGCTCCTCCCCACTCCCCACGTCGCCAGCGGGAAAATCCGTGGCTCCAGTGGCGGCCGGGAATCCCCTCTGGAATGACGGTGGGGAAGGGGACGCCCGGGTCCCCGCGCGGGGCGCAGGGGGGCAGGTCCTGGGCGGGCAGAAGGTGGGGGCAAGGGGCGGAAACCGAGGGCTAAAAATACGGCGAGCGCTTCCGGCCGAGGGGGAGGGGAGCGGAGAGCAGAGTTTCCAGAAAAACAAGCGGGGACGGGAAACGCGGGGGTGTGAGAGCGCCTGCGAGCGCGCGGGCGGCCGGGGCCCGTGTCCTCGCGGCACGTGCGTCTGGGCCGGGGGTGCGCCGCGGGGCGGGCGGGCGGGCGGGAGCGGGAAGCGCGGGGTCGCGGGGCGTGCGCGCGGCGGGGTTCGCGCTGCTGGTGCCAAAGCGCGTGCCCGGCAGGACGGGGTGCCCGCGGCGGGGCGTGCGGTCGGTGGAGAGGGTGTGGGACCCGAGCGCGGCCGGCTTCCTGTGGGGGCCGTGCGCGCTCCCGGCCCGCCCGCCACGGCTGTCGACGCAGGTGCCAAACCGCCGGAGCCGGGCATGCACTGGACTGTTTACCTCGCCGCCTCTGGGTGTGGGAGTGGATGCCCAACTGTAGCTGTCTTTGAGGTGGCGTTCTCGGGACGTGTGACTTACAGACCTCCCCGTGCGGCTGTGTGGCGCTGGCGGCCGCTGACACCTGGAGTGACCAAGTGTGCGTAATTCTGCAGGGCGCCTGGGGGAGGGCACCTGCGGCCTCTGCTGTGATGAGGGCCCGTGTGGCGTGTGCCCCGCTCCCTGTGTGGATTGTGTTCCCATGTGACTTGTGTCCTTAGGTGGTGGTGGTGTCACTAGAACTGGGGAGGCAGCGCCTGGATGGGGTTCCTTTGTGGTGCCAGTCACAAGGCAGTCAAACTGCTGAACTTTGAGGCCTGACGTCTGCACTCACTGATGGGGAGGCCACTGACACGCCCCCCCCCACCCCCCAGGTCTAGGCCAGCAGGCCTCTGTGGGCAGAGCAGACAGCGCAGACACACGCACTCACACCTGAGAAGCCTTATCTCTCCCTAGCCCAGGCTGCTTTTGATAATGTTGAGCGAGGGCAGGGCTGAGTCAGCCTGTGATGGGCAAAGTCTGCGATGAGGAGAGTGATAGCGGGTTAAGTGGTGGTTAGAGGGTTGTTTGTATGGTCATGTGGGTTGGACTGTTCCTTTAGCCAGCCTCTGGGACCAAGGCTGGGGACACCATGGTCTAGATTAGGGGCAGGTGTGTGTTGTGCCTGTGCTCTGTGGCCTTGGGTGGCTGGGCATCTCATATTAGCCATTCTCAAGTGTGTGGTGGTGCTCCAGGTTGTACAGCCTTCCTTTGGTTGGAATAATCTAGTAAAAACCTTTACCAAGGTGCTCCATGGCCTGCCTCCAGTCCTTTCCACTGCCAGCCTCTTCACTGGGGTCCAGGACTCCACATTGTTCTATAAACCCACTGGCATCTTCCTGCCTCAGGGCCTTTGCACTAGTTAATCCCTCTCCTTCAAGTCTGCTCCCGTATCAGTTTCTCAGTGAAGCCTTCTTGACAACTATCAAGGATTAATTAAAACAAAAACAAAACTAGGCCCTCCCTGGTGGCTCAAGGAGTTAGTAAGCACAGCGCTATGAAGCTATCACAGCCACTGCAGCACGAGTTCGATCCCTGGCCAGGGAGATCCCCACATGGTGCGGCAGACCTCTCCTGTCTCGCCCACTGCTCCCCTCAGCAGTGTATTTCAGTCAATCTGCCTGTTCCGCTCCCTGCTCCGTTTTTGGTGAATCCTCTCACCCCCACCACACACCTTTGGCCTGTACCTCAGATCTTGTATACACATTTTTTTTAATCAAAAAAAATTCTTGCTATTTAACTAATAAATACATGTTAACATATCCTTACAGATGACAATACCCACAAACCACTACCCAACCTAAGCTTTCAAACGTTTTCAATAAAGCAACATAGCTCATGTGAAAATCTTGCATTCATGTTACATTTATTCCTGTGTACTCTTTGAGATAAATCTCTGCTTCTGTTCTCCCGTCTCTGCTTTCTCTCGGCACTTCTTGTCTGATAGATTTTACCAGACTGAGCCGCCTCTCACCAGACTACCAGCCCCACCAGGCAGGGGTCTTTGCTCCACCCTGTGGAGCTGGGCCTGCACCAGGTGTTCGCTGCCTGCAGACACAGAGCCCTGGTGCACAGCTTCTCCCTTGTGGCTGCTGAACTGCACCCGTCACACTCCCCTGCCCACCCACATCCTGCATGTCTCCCTGGGAGCTGTTTTAAGCACTCTGGGTCCCCTATCGTGGGTGATGCGATGCCACGCCACCTGTCGTGTGCTGGCTGCACCCTACGGAAGCTGGGCAGAGATTGGGGAAAGAGGACACTTCTGGTTGTACAAAGATCATGGCATCACATTAGCTGGCAGAACCACTGCTTGCTTTTATCTGGAGATTAGGGAGAGGGACCTTGATTATGACAGTGAGTTCCATGTGTTAACCTGGCTAGGCAAGAGTCCGCATTATTCAAATACTAATCTAGACGCAGTGAGGGAGTTCTGCAGCTGTGTCCGAAGTACAAAATAAGTTGACGTGAGTTAAGGGAGGTGATCCTACAAGTCCTGGGGAATGGGTGGGGGGCAGAGCAGTGGCTTCCCTGAAGAGGCCACCTGTGTGGGGCAGCCTCAGCTGCTGTCAAGAGGGCTGCTGCCCACTCTGGGGTCTGCCTGGTGTGCCTGGTGTTTCAGGGAAGGGCCCGTGCAGACACCTGGTCATTTCCCAGGATTCCAGTGCGGGGACTTGGGCTCTGGGTTGATCTCAAGTCTTCTGGGGTCCAGGAAGGAGGCCTCAGAGCTGACATGGGAACCAGGACACAGAAGGTGTTGGGTGGGGCAGTCCCCCAACTAGGCTGAGTCACTTGAGCCTTTCACACCCCAACAGCTGGGCTTGGGCTGGTAGCTCCGCCCTGCACTTGCCCAGGCCTGAAGGCCATGGTTGAGCTCCCCAAAGCTCAGCTCCAAGCATACTCTCAGGGAAGGGGGGAGTCTGGTGGGGTGCCCCCTCCCCAAAACCTGCTTCCCGGAGCTGGGGCCCAAGCATGCCTGGGTTCTTCCCCAGGACTAATGATTCATCCCTGCTGGGGCCTTTTCACTTCTGTTTTGGGACTAAAAATACAAGGACCCAGGCGTTCAGCTGGGCAAGGCTTCACCACGGATTGCGCAATGCCCTCCGTCTGAGTGCTGACGCAGGCAGCTCCTGGTACGGGTAGGGACCGGAGTTGCTCCCCAATAGGGACCGGAGTTGCTCCCCAATAGGCCATGCAGAGGTCAAGACCTAGACCCCCTACACTTCCCCTTTCCTGGGCCAGAGGCACTGGAGGCTGGGCTGTGGGCCCTGGGAGTGCAGCTCCTTCTGAAAGCCCCCCGGGGTTCTGGCTTCTGGAATCTGATCCCCTGGGGGGACTGGGAAATGGTGAGAGACAGTAAGACCACAGTGCAGACAATGACAGGAGACAGAATGAAGGAGAAACAACACACACATATAAGAACCAGAGCTGCCAGAAAAAGGGTGCCAGGCACAAAGACTGCCCTCAAACTGGGGGATGGCATCCAGCCAAGACTGAGGGCCCATCAGGAGCTCCACACCCAGGTGAGGACAGGGGTGGGGGGGAGGGAAGCCCCTGGACGGAGGTCACCAACCCCAAGAGTCCAGAGTCCAGCCAAGCCTCTCCAGGAGCACTGGGAGCCAGCACCCGCAGGGCCCCAGCCCCGCCCTGTGCTCCCTGCTGGCCTCTGCTGCCCCCTGGCGGTCCCAGCCTCAGAACTCGTACACGAAGAAAAGTCAGAGACAAGGCTGCTTCCAGGCTACTCTTCATTCCCCCCAGACACCCCCCCCCCCACCGCACTCCCCACCCAGCCAGCTCACAGTGTGCCCCCAGGGCCTGTTGGGGGTGCAGGTGTTTTGCCTGTGACCTTGTTGGCGCAGTCCAGAAGGGCCGTGTGAATATCCTTGGCACAGGCAATCTGGGCTTTGATGACCGCCAGGTACTGCGGGTAGGGTAGGCTGTCGGGCTGCACTGCATCCGGCTTGGTGGCCGTGGGCACGAGTGTTGGAGAGTGCTTGGCGCTGTCACAACTCTGTGACAGGCACTCATGTGCCAGGCGCTGTGGACAGACAGGCGAGGTGAGGCATCAGCCTAGCTCCTGAGCCCACCCCACCCAGAGGGCCAGCCTGGCTAGTCACGTTGGCTCTGGACCCCCCAGTGCCAACCACAAGCTCGGTGGCCTCAGGCCCGAGGCTGCTCCTCTCAGAGCCTGTTTCCTCCTTTGGACAATGGCTGTAACGGCCAGCTCTGCCACCTCATTGGCTCAGAAGGGTGTGTGGGACTCAAGCCTGGGCTCTGGAGCACCACTTAAGAGCTGACTAGGGAACACCCGCCTCCACTGTTGTGCTGGTCTAACCCAGGCTCTGCAGCACCAGTCTCTGCTCTGATGGCACCTGCACCAGGTTTGGTTTGGCTTCTCTGACTGCTCCTTCCAGGTATTTCTTATCCTACCCAAATCATTTTTTTTTTTTTTTTTAAAAAATACACTCAGTTTCTTTTTTTTTTTTTTTTACAGAGGCATTTTTTTTATTTATTTATTTGTTTGTTCGTTCGTTTTGTTTATACATGCACTGGGTACAGTCAGAAGCGCGGGAGGGTGAGAGAATTCACCAGAGCCAGAGCAGGGAGCAGAGCAGGCAGAAGGACCGAAGTACACTGCTGAGGGGAGCAGCGGGCGGCAGGAGAGGTCTGCACGCCATGTGGGACCCTCCTCCGGTGGCCGGGGAGCAGCCGGGGATCGAACTGGCACTGCAGAGGCTGCGGGCAGCTTCGCAACCCAGCGCTCAACCGCTGCGCCTCCGGGGAGGCCCACCAAATCATTTTTTTTTAAGTTTTTTTATTTTATTTATTTATGCATACAAGAGCTGGGATACAGGCCAGAGATGCAGGGGGATGGTGATGTTGAGAGGATTCAGCAAAGACAGAGTGGAGAGCAGAACAGGTGGCTTGACTGAAGTACACTGCTGAGGGGAGCAGTGGGCAAGTCAGGAGAAGGTCTGCTGCGCCATGTGGGTCAGCTCCCTGGTGGAGATTGATCCCTAGCCACAGTGGCTGCCGACAGCTTCAGAGTGCTGAGACTCAACCACTTGTGCCACCAGGGAGGCCCCCCTATCCAAGTGTTACAGATCGCAATTTCCAGATCCCATCTCTTCCCCTCAGTCTGGAGCCCTGTCAGGCTCAGTTCCCACCCCCACAGAGATGACACCACATCTGTGTCCCCTGGAAATTTCCAAACTCTCATATTTTCCTCTCCTCCCTCCCTCTTGGTCCCTGTATCAGGAACAGCCAGACCATCCCAACTAGAGCCTGGGGCTTTACTTTGGAGCTGCCTCCCACAGCCTTCAGTTCCATGGCCTGGACACAAAGCCTCTTAGGACCTCTCCCATCTGTACTTCCCCATTCCCTCAGCCTTGTGCTGGTGCAGCTCAGTCTACCTAAATCCCGCCATGGCTGCTCTGTGGGCTCCCAGCCTCCAGCTCCAGCCCTCCAATCCATCCCTCATTTGGTAGCCAGAGGCCTAGTCCTAATAAAGCAAATGGCCCAATATTCTTCCCTCTTGGAAACCCTCTGTGGCTCCCTGGTACCCTTAGGGCTATATTCAAAATCCAGCAAGTGGGGCCTCCCTGGTGGCGCAAGGGGTTAAGACGCAGCACTATGAAGCTATCCACAGCCACTGCAGCACGAGTTCGATCCCTGGCTGGCCAGGATGATACCCACATGGCGCAGCAGACCTCTCCTGTCTCCCCGCTGCTTCCCTCAGCAGTGGATTTTAGTACATCTGCCTATTCTGCTCCCCATTCTGTCTCTGGTAAATCCTCTCACACACTACCCCCACCACCCGGCCTGTCATCTCTGGCCTGCATCCCAACTCTTATATACATAAATAAATAAATCTTTAAAAAAAAAAAAAAAAGACAGAGAAGAAAATCCAGCAAGCCCCAAAGCCTACTATACCTCAACCAGAATAACTTTGTGATGTTCCTAAAAGGAGCTTTAAGCAGAAGCTGCTGTTTCTGGTTGCAATGCCTTTCTACCACCACAAGGCTTCTCAAACACTAACTTGTCCTTCAAGTCCCAGTCCAAAATAACAATGAGCATAGTACAGGAAACATTCGTCATGTGCCTAGTACGGTGCTAAGTTCCTTATTTTCATGATCTTGCTCAGTCTTTTCTGCAAATTCATTTTCCGAAGGAGGACCCCATGGCTCACACACAGAGGCTGGTGGTGTGTCTGATGCCCGAGGCTGGACAAATCCTGCCCGCTTCCATTTTTGTTCCAGCCTCAGCTCAGACGTGCTCTTCATCAGTAGCTTCCAAAGCCAACCTTTACTTAGCCATCCCCCTACTAGGCAGCGTCAGGTGGCTGCTCTGGGTTTCCACAGTCCCCCGATTTTCCCTTGCTTTATTCTTGTGCACCCTTCCTGCGTTTCTCCCATCACAGCCCTGAACTCTGTAGCCAGGGCTTCTCCCATCTCAGCCCTAACTACCGAGGTCTATCTATCACTGTATGGAAATACATGTCACCCACCGAACAGGAAGTTCTGTGAAGGTAAGGATTGGGGTAACAGTGAAACACAAATCTGATCCACAGGAGATGCCCCCATTAGTGGGTGTTCACTGACTGAAACAGGGCTCCTGAAGATCCCAGGGACAGAGTCAGGGTTATGGTCATCCAGGCTAGAAGGCCCCTTACCAGACAAAGCTCCAGTTGGTCACAAAGTGCATAGAACTCCTCCAGACATTTGTCAAAGCGCTGTATGGGTCCGTCGCTGCTCTTTCTATATCCCGGGAGAAAAAGGTGACTGGGAAACGGATCTCCAATCTCTGGGACATCAGTGGCCACCCAAACAAGTATCCATCAGGCACCAGATATAAGCTTAGGAGAACATGAGGCAGGGCCTGGGTGACAGTTAGTAGTAGAAGGGGCAAAAGAACAAGGCTGAGTGCCAGGGAGCCAGGCTTGAAAACAGGAGGAAAGGGTGGGTGGGCGAGGCATGGGGGAGGAGTTTCTCAGATTGGGATGGAGTGGGGAGGCCATCCCAGGCCGAGGGGACTACACTCACTGTCCGTTGTCAATGTTAGTGTTCTGAACCAAGTTCTGTGCTGCAACCTTCATCAAGGTCTAGTTGGCAGAAAAAAATGACAAAGAAAATGCAGAAATATACGGAGACTCCTTTGGTAGCTCTGCATTCTCCCTCAAGATCCATCCAACCTCAGAGTCTTCACTTGGCCCCTCTGCCCTCGTCACTCCCGAGTAACGTTCCTTCTATTCCCATAATCATCACCACCCATATTTCCCCAGACGCCCGCTCTCACCTAAGGTTCCCACCAATAACCGTCCGAACACGCCCTCACCCACCAACCACAGACAGAATCTCTGTACAGGACGGTCTTTTCCTCAAGTTTTAACGACCAGAGCCTGGTTTCTCCTTCCAACTCCCTCTCACTCGAATTCCGGCCAACCCTCTGGCTCAACATCCCGCTGATCCCACCTCACACTGTCCATTCGCAGAACTTCGCTTTCGCCTCACGAAAAGGACCAAGTCTCACCCCTCTTCCTTGCCTGACACACATTCTGCTCTCTCCCTGACTAAGCAGCCCTTCCCCTCCACCCGCGCCCCCTTGGAGTCAGAGAACCAGACCCCGCTTGCTTCTCGCAGATCCCCGCCAATCACCTGTAGACTCTCCTTCAGCTGAGGGATGAGCATTTTGTAGCGCTGCACGGGATCGAAGTCCTGTTGCTGTTGCTGCAAAAGTCCGCTCTGGCCAGGCCCCACCAGTTGTGCCGGCGGTTGCGGCTGCTGCTGGGGACCGGGGCCACCAGCCGAACCCGGACCCGACACACCAGCTGCAGACGCCGCCGCTGAAGCCTGCTGCTGGGACGCAGCCATCGCCCTCGCCTAGCGCGCCGGAAGTGCGTCACAACTGCGTCCCTCCGTTGTTTAGTGCCCTCCGCTCTAGGGCCCTGTTTGCTAGTTAGCTCCGCCTCCCGGGCGATTCAACCAATGGGAGGAAAGAAGGCGTTTCACCTCCTTCGCTGGACTCCCAGCCGACGTCCCGCCTGAGATACCGACCCACCAATCACAAGAGTCCCTTGTTCCCTCGCCCCGCCCTCTACCCATCAACCCGCCAATACGAATGTGGGTCTGGTCCGGACTATATTTCCCCGAAGGCCTTGCGGCCTGAGGCGACTGGTCGGGTCCTCCGCGTCTTGGCGGCAGTTGGTGGAGCCGGGGCTGCGAGTCCGTCCTCGGAGCTGCCTGCGTGTTTACCTGCGTGTCGCCGGAGCGCTCACTGGCCCACCTCTTCCTGACCCGAAACCCGCCTCGGATCGGGCGTCCGCCGGAATCGGCACGCCCCTTCGCGTCTCGGCCCGGCCCCGGTCAGGGCTCCCGTCGCCATGGCGCCCACCATCCAGACCCAGGCCCAGCGGGAGGATGGCCACAGGTACGCCGCGCGCTTGCCCGGACGGCTTGCTTCTCAGTCCGCTTAGGTTTAGGCGAGGCGGGGGCTTGGGCGCGGCGTCCGCGTACGACGTCATCAGTCCCCTCCAGGTCTGCTGGTGACGTGAAACCCTCGCCGCGAGCGTCGTGACGTCACGGAGCGAGCCCCTTTGACCAAGGGGGCGAGTCCTTCAGGGACGGTGTCGCTCCCTCCTCCCCTATAACGTCAGGGAGTAAACTCTTGGAGAGCGCCCTGAAGGGACTGAGTGCTCATTCCTGCGGTCAGGCGCTTGGAGACCCCCTTTTCCAAAATCATTTGGGCGCGTGGCTCACCTCATGCACCTGAGGCAGCCTCCTTAAAAGGCATCCGCCTCGCCGTTAGGAAGAGCCCCGCTGCCGGCAATACCCCCGCTGTTAAGACCCTCGTGCACTCCTGCCCAAAGCGATGAGCGCCTGTCACCCCCTCCTTTCTTTTAAACACTTGGAGAAACCCCTTCCACCCGGCTTTCCGTCCCGTCTATCAACGTGTCTCTCTCAACAGGCCCAATTCCCACCGGACTCTACCCGAGAGGTGAGCCCCATTGTGCTTTCCCAGGAGGGGGTCACTGGGGGCTGGGAGCAGACGTGGGGCGGCCAGGGCCAGGTTTTGAGCCCCTGTGTTCCCAGGTCTGGAGTGGTCTGCCGAGTCAAGTACTGCAATAGCCTCCCCGACATTCCTTTTGACCCCAAGTTCATCACCTACCCCTTCGACCAGAACAGGTGAGGCTGAGATCCCCGGTGGGGAAACAGCTCGGCAAGGGCTGCTTGTCTGGTGGTGGGCCCTCACCTCAAAGTCTAGAATGGTACCTAGCATGCAGTAGCGGGTACCCAAAAATGCCAACGGGGCAAGCAGTGTTCCAGCCTCTTACTAGGGAGCCAGCTGTCCGACTCCAGCCTGGGGCCGCTTCATTCTGGGTTCCTCCCTGGAACAGCTTAGCTTCTGGGAAGCAGGGACGTGAGGGGTAAGTCTGGAGTCAGGAAACCATTTGGATGTTTCTCCACCCAGATTCGTCCAGTACAAAGCGACTTCCTTGGAGAAACAGCATAAACATGACCTCTTGACTGAGCCAGACCTGGGGGTCACCATTGACCTCATCAACCCCGACACCTACCGCATCGACCCCAACGGTGTGTGGGGAGGCAGGGAGGGCCTGCTCTGGTGAGCAGAGGCCGGGCCTGGGCCTCCTTCATGGTCCTCCTGCTCTCCCCTAGTACTCCTAGATCCAGCTGATGAGAAGCTTTTAGAAGAGGAGATTCAGGCTCCCACCAGCTCCAAGAGGTGAGAAGGTGCTGAGAGGGAGCTGGCTCCGACGGGATCTGTACGCAGGAGGGAAGGGGGTCCTGAGGCGCCTGATCTTCCCACTCCAGATCCCAGCAGCACGCGAAGGTGGTGCCGTGGATGCGGAAGACAGAGTACATCTCCACCGAGTTCAATCGTTACGGCATCTCCAACGAGAAGCCTGAGGTCAAGTAGGTTGTGGTGGGTAGGGAGGGAAGGGAGATTTTGGGTGTGTCCAGTGTCCCTAAGGGTTGTCCTCTTCACGCCCTAGGATTGGGGTTTCCGTGAAGCAGCAGTTCACCGAGGAAGAAATATACAAAGATAGGGATAGCCAGATCACAGCCATTGAGAAGACTTTTGAGGATGCCCAAAAATCGGTAATTGAGGGAGCGGTCCTGGGGCAGGCCTAGGTGGGGCTGACCTCTCGGTCCTCCTCACTGTGTTTGCCCCCCACCCCCAGATCTCCCAGCATTACAGCAAGCCTCGCGTGACACCGGTGGAGGTCATGCCTGTCTTCCCAGACTTTAAGGTCAGATCCAGGGCAGCAGGCAGAGGGGGAGAGCTGGGATTACCTGTCCCGGCCTAATCCCTTTGCCCTCCATCCCCCTAGATGTGGATCAACCCGTGCGCTCAGGTCATCTTTGATTCAGACCCAGCCCCCAAGGACACGAGTGGTGCAGCTGCACTGGAGATGATGTCTCAGGCCATGATCAGGTCAGTGGTCCGGCCGCTGGCCTTGGCCTGCTCCTCGCTGGCCATCTGTCCTCACTCTTCTTTGTCCCTCTTTTTCCCCTACCAGGGGCATGATGGATGAGGAAGGGAACCAATTTGTGGCCTACTTCCTGCCTGTGGAAGAGACCCTGAAGAAACGAAAGCGGGATCAGGAAGAAGAGATGGACTATGCACCAGATGACGTGTGCGTGGGGGAGATTGTGGTGTGTCTCCTCTTCTCCCTCACAGGGGAGAACTGGGGTGACCCTGTGACCCCTTCGCCCTCAGGTACGACTACAAGATTGCTCGGGAGTACAACTGGAACGTGAAGAACAAGGCCAGCAAGGGCTATGAGGAAAACTACTTCTTCATCTTCCGAGAGGGTGACGGCGTATACTACAACGAGCTGGAGACCAGGTACTCGGCACTCTGCTGGCTCGGGCCTGTGCTTCAGGGTCCACACCCTGGGGTATGCGAGAGCCACCTCAGCCGTCACGCGCCCCTGCGGATCTTCACATGCATTTACAAGCAAGAGCAGCACCTGGTTCTAACACCTGAACCCAGAAAGACCAACTCGCGGTGACAGCTAGGATTTTGAGTAGGGCAGATTTCCGCAGATGCTAGGGGACCGCACGTGAAAGTAAACACAGGCGTAACACATAAAACTAGCGTGTTTTAAATGAACCTCTGGATACTCAAGTATAGGAATGGGGACAAACCCCCCCCCCCCAATTCTTAACCCATGGCTTCAGGTTTACTCTCATGCTGGCCTTTGGTGTAAGACTTGGGAGAAAATGTGACACTGAATTTCTATTTAAAGCAGAGATCACAAATTTGTATTCCATAAGCCAGCAGGAAATGAGAGGCAGCAGTGGGCCAGTAGAACTGGGGTCACCTGTATGTAGCTCCTGGCAATCCCCCAAGAGGCACCATGATGGCTACAAAGGACTCCATCCCATCTTTGCTTTGCTGGGGTCGGCAAAATAGCCCAGCGTGGCCATAGTCCTAATTTTCAAAAGGCACAAGCTTAAAAACCTGGGTTATCTAAGAGCTGCTAACTAATCTACATTGAAACAGGGGCGTGTATTACATAGAGCGCGACCCATCGAGTATCTTAAGAGCTGTCATCCTTCCCCTCCCCCTCAACTTTGACTCTAGTCTCCCTTATTCCATCTCATCTGGTCTGTTCAGGGGTAAGCACTGACGGGGAGTAAGAACCAAGTCAGATCAGATCCTTCACTGCGCAGGGGGGTGAAGGTGGGGGATGAGACCCTTTAAACTGCATCTTCCACAACCCTCCCTTCCCAACTTACAGGGTCCGCCTGAGTAAGCGCCGGGCCAAGGCTGGGGTTCAGTCCGGTACCAACGCCCTGCTTGTGGTCAAACATAGGGACATGAACGAGAAGGAATTAGAAGCCCAGGTAACAAGCACCTCTGGCCCCGCGTGACCACGGAAGGGTGGTGGTGAGGGTGAGGGTGAGGGCGAGGGGAGGGCCGAAAACCCAACAGAACCACCCCCTCCCACCGGCCCTGCTGTTAACAGGAGGCACGAAAGGCCCAGCTGGAGAACCACGAACCCGAGGAAGAGGAGGAAGAGGAGATGGAGACAGAAGAGAAAGAAGCCGGGGGCTCAGGTATAGTGGGGCAGGCTGAACCCTAGGAACCTTGAGGGGGGGGTGGGAACTGGGCCTCACTTCTCCCCCCGTCCGCACAGATGAGGAGCGAGAGAAGGGCAGCAGCAGCGAGAAGGAAGGCAGCGAGGACGAGCGCTCGGGCAGCGAGAGCGAACGGGAGGAGGGCGACCGGGAGGAGGCCAGTGACAAGAGCGGCAGCGGCGAGGACGAGAGCAGCGAAGACGAGGCGCGCGCCGCGCGGGACAAGGAGGAGATCTTCGGCAGCGACGCGGATTCGGAGGACGACGCAGATTCCGAAGAGGAGGACAGAGGACAGGCCCGCGGCAGCGACAACGACTCGGACAGCGGCAGCGATGGGGGTGGCCGGCGCAGCCGCAGCGCCAGCCCCCTCCCCAGCGGCAGCGAGCACTCGGCCCAGGAGGACGGCAGTGAGGCGGCAGCCTCCGACTCCAGCGAGGCGGACAGCGACAGTGACTGAGGCCCGGGCCTTCCGGGCCGGTGCAGACGCCGTGCGCAGGAGGGCACTTTCTCCATGGTCCGTTTTCAAGTCATTTGTTCATTTCCCTTCCCTCCTCCAAACCTTTGCTGTTAATAAAGCCACGTCCCGTTTACCCTGCTCCCAGCCCACAGCCTGGTTCTGTGTACGTTTCCCCACGCTCCCCGCGCCGCCCCAAAGGCCCCAGCTTCAGGTGTAGACGCAAAGGCCAGAGGCCAGGCCACAGGGTTTCTGTGAAATGTAGCGTAACAAAGGTCAGAATCTCCCGTTTTGTTTTGATTTTTTTTTTTTCCAAAATAAGCCCAGACCATTAAACAAGTGTAACTCCAACAAATGTCTTCTCAACAGCAAAAAAAAACTGTACAGTTACTCAAAGCTGATTCTGCCAGTGGGGCTGGGACTAGGACGGGTGAAATCATCGTGGGGACACCAGGGGCTGGAGGGGGTCAGGGAGGGTTCCTGCCCATCAGAGTGGGGCCGCCTGCGTCCAGCACACTCTGTTGTCAGGTGGGGGGAGGGGGCAGCTCTTGCCTCCCATGTGTGTTGGGGGGTGTCCCTCACCACCTCCCAGTGCCAGGCAGGGCCGGTGTACCCCGATGGGTAGTGAACAAGATGGGACCGGCTGGGAAGAGGTGAGGGTCCCATAAAAGGGACACCCTGGCTGATTCCAAAGAAGGTGGCCCCTGTCCATCCCACTTCCCGGGGCTTGTGGGAGGAGAACTAGAGAAGCCCTGGGAGCTTGAGGGGAATGAGCAAAGGCACAGAAACATGGAGGGGCCGGGGCAGGGAACTTGCATAGGTTGATGAGTGTGCAAGAGGTACATAAATAAACCTGACACCCCACCCAGCCCGGCACTGGGCGAGGAGGTGGGGACCCGCGGCAGGTCCCCAGGGCCACCTCACCCCCTGGTTTCCTCCCCCTCCCCGGGCTCAGCTGAGGGAGGTCCAGACCAGGAGGAAAGAGGCAAGAAGGTCTGGGGAATGGGGTGAGAGTGCGAGGAGGGCGGTGGTCTTAAATTCTTTTTTTTTGGTTTTTTTCTTTTTTCCCAACAATTTGTATTTTTAATAACATACACAATGGTTACCAGCCATATTCATAACAAAAGTTATTCATAAAATGTATCTAAAAATAACATTTTTTTCCTTTCTGTGTGAAAAGCTTGAGAATGTCGGGGGTGGGGGTTGAGGGGGAAGAGGGGTTGGAATAGGGTCCCAGCTTCCCTACACCCGAGCCCCCAAATCCCCTCCTTCCACCTGACCCAGCACAACCCCCCTTAGCAGGAACAGGGACCAGAGGGTGTATGACTCTAGCACTGAGACAAATCTCTGGGTTATGATAATAGTGTTTGTTCCATGTTAAGTGAGGTCATGACAGAATGGGGGAAAGGTTCAAAGAAAAGGGGTGTGGGGAAAGAAACCAAAAACCAAACAATCCCCTTTCCCTATTCCTTACCCCCAAGTCTTTTCAGCAACCAGACCTGGGAGTGGAGAAAGGTGTGTGTTGGTGGGGGAAGGGGACGTTAAGGCAACAGACTTCCTGACCTCACTGGCTACCCTGACTCCCCACTTTCCACCCCGGAAGCCAGGGCTGGGGGGAAGTTGGGCAGGGCTAGGGGGTTCTGGAGGAGGGGGCTCTGCCCTCTCCTCTTGTAAAATTCAGGCTCCCCCAGCCACTTTCTTGGCTCAGAGAGAGGCCTGGGGATTCTAAAAATGAGAGGGAATGATCAGAGAAAACCGTTAAGAACTATATAAATATGTATCTTAAATAGGCCTACGAAATTAATTGTCGAGAACCTCCAATAACCAGGGCAAAAGGAGGTGAGTGACCAGAGGGTGGCTCCTGTCCTCAGGGAGTGATGGGAACGGGGAAGGGGGGGGGGCGTGGGGGGGTGAGACAGCACCTCCTCTCCTCATCTGCCTTTTTCTCCTCGGCGCCTCAAATAACATTCAGGAGAGCAGGTTATCTACGCTTATTCTCTCCCCAAATGTCAGATGGTTCTGAGCAGGCCCCGCAAGATAGTGGGTCAGTGAGTCTCTGGGGGAGGCTGCTCCCTTGGGAGGGGCAGGTGACCGGCGGGCTGGAGGCGGCGGGAGCGGGATGGGGTCAGGTGGGGGACGAGGAAGAGGAGAGGAGGGAGCAGCAGGCTGGCCGGTCCCTGCCCCGTTTATCCTGACTGCCCTCTACTGCCCGGGGCCTCAGCAGAGATCCCTCGACGGGCCTGGGAGTGAGCAAGGCGTGTGCCAATGTGAAACAAAAGTTAAAAGGGTGAGAGAGTAGAAAAATATTAGAATGTATAGCTGAGCCAGCCCACCCTCTCGCTGTCGCGGAGAAGCCCGTTGGGGGTTGGCTCCCGCCCGCCGCCCGGGGGAGCCTATGGGTGCGCTGGGCTGTGGGTCCCGTCAGATGGTGGAGGTTTTGTCTGTCCCATCTGTGGTAAGAAAGGGAGGAAGGGAGGAAGATCAGGAGCTGGCGGGAGGCCTGAGACAAGGAGCTCAGGGAGCCTGTCATCCCAGTCAGGCCCTCCCTGGAGTCCGGCCTCCCCTGGGGACCCCTCAGGATGACTCTGAGTTGCTCAGTTCAGAGGTGGAGACGCTGCTGGGTCAGGGAAAGAGGAAATGCTCACCACCCAAGGCGTGTTCTGTCATGCTCAGACACAGAGACTCCAGAGTGGGATTGATCTCCAGGTCAGGCCCAGGGACCGGGCAGTCTGGGTGAGAGAGAACACAGGTGGTGAGGACTGGACTGGGGTAGGAAGTTGAGCCAGGAAGACAAAAGGCCAGACGGGCTGGCATGAGAAAGGCTGACACAGATGAGAGGGAGGGGGAGAGAGCACCTGAGAGATGCGCACACTGCGATGGGAGGGCTGAGGGCTGAGATGCAGAGACGGCCTGGGTGTATAGTGGAGCAGGCAGGGGCAAGGGTGGCAAGAACAGAGGCCTGGCGGGAGGAAAAGCCTGCCCTGCCGGCACAGGAAGGGATATGAAGCTAAGGGAGCTTCCTGGAGGCCACACACAGGCTGTGACTATTTTGGACACGCACTGCACGTTGCCTTGGGCACAGTCTGAGCATCAGCCCTGGGCACTGGGCAGCCCTGTGCTCCCTGACTGATGATCTGTTCTGTGCTTGGTGCTGAAGCTTAATTAGAACCCTCCCCGTCCCCACTTGGACTTACTCCTCTGGGCAGGACGCAATCTGGGCAGGCCCGGCCAGCAGGGCAAATCAGGACACCAGCCACGCGGCTTGTCCTTAAACCGCCTCTCAGAGGGCTTCCTGGGCCGGCATCTGGCAAACAGCCCACCTCCCTGAGCAGACCCGGTCCCACCCCAGACCTCTTTGGCGCCTCACTGCCCTCGGGAGAAAGTCTGAGATTGTCACCTGGGTTCAGAAGACCCTACTCCCACCTCCAGCCTCACCTCTCATTTCATCCCTTCTGAACGCTGAGCTCAGGCCGTAATCAGACCACCGGTCTCTCCTAACAAAGACTTATTTTAACCTTGGACAAGTGTCTTCTCTGAGTACCAGACTTGCGACAGATAAGATGGGAAAAGCATCAGTGACCTCAAGTGTGCAAGCTGAGAGGACTGACTCCTCAGTACAGGAAAGCTGGTGATAACCCGCCCAGCACACAGCACACCAGTAAAAAGGACTGTTGTTATTTCTTGTTCCTGTAGCTCAACTATCCAGTCACTCAGCAGCACTGACAGACGCCTCCTGCATGCAAAGCCCTACGCCTGGGTGGAAATGGAAGACACCTGCCTTTGAGAGCTGGACGGCCACATCGTCTCATGAACTAAGGTTGGCAGCTTATGACATGAAGAGCATTGGGTCACCTGCAAACCTAGGATCTCTCCAGAGGCAGCCCATCCCAGGCCAGCCTGATCTGCTTCTGTAGCTCAGTGCCCAGAAGTGGGCTGGCACAGGGCAGAGTGAACTCATGGAGCGAGGGAGGGCTGGCGCTCCTGCAGCCTCCCTCGGCCCACTCTGCCCTCACTCTGATCTCCCACTAGGCCCGTGGACTGAGGAAATCAGTGCCCCCAGCCTCAAACACCCTTCGGTGTAGAACCCGTCAGAGGGCTGGAATGTAACGACTGGCCCCGATGTGATCCCCTGGCTCATCGAGGCGGCGAGGCTCCCCACCAGTGACTTCACTAACTTTGACGCAACCCCTCAGACCCTCCCAAATCGAGTATCTCACACGAACACCCAGACGATGACAGGGAGGGAGCAATGCAGAAGGTAGGGGGAAGGGCTGGCAAGGTAGGACCTGAGAGAAAGTGAAAGGGGTGGAGGAGAGTGCAGAGAGTGGAGCAGAGTGGGGGAGGTGTGGGGACAGTCAAAGAGAAGAGTAAGGCCAGCGAAGGGTGTCACCAAGGCCGAGTCCCGGGTGGGGGCACCTTACCTGGAGGGAACATGAGAATGGCCTGGGGTGATGAGTGGACCGGGAGCGAGTGGGTGCGCTGGACAGAGCTGCGGCTCTGGCTGGGCATGCTGTTGCTGCCTCCGGGGTTGGCGAACCACAGGCTCTGCGCCAGGCCAGGGAGAGAGAAAGCAGAGGTGAGAGGGAGTGGCCCGCCCCAGGTGTGGCAGGGCCCACTCCTGCCCAAGGCCCACCCGGATGCAAAGGTATGGGCACACACCCCAAGCACCCCAGCCCCAAGAGTGCCAAGTCCTCTGCTTCCAGCATGCTCACCTGTCGGCCCTGGCCCCCAAGGCTGGGGCTGGTGAGGGCATGTCGGGGGGAGATGCCCCCAATGCCCGAGGGGCTCAGAAGGCCCATCCTGCTGGGCGGAAGGGCCCGGGGAGGCATTGGGAATTGCCGCTGGGTCCGCCGGGCCACCCCCATCCCCACAGAGCCAGCTATGGGGAGGGAGTTGGAGCCGAATGCCCAGCTGTGAGAGAGCAGAAAGCTGGGTGTCAGTTTAGGCTGATGGGTCCTCTGTCCAACCTTCTACCCCCTACCCCCACAGCCTCAACAGGCAGGACACAACACAGACCTGCTCTGACCTCGAGGGGATTCCCCATCCAAGTACCCGCATCACACACTGTTCTCGCCTGCCCCACGAGCACCCCCGGAGGGAGACAGGGAGTGCACAAAGCTTCCCTTGTGGTCACTGTCAGTAGTTTTCCTGACTCAGTTCCCAAGTGTGGTATTTCTGTTGTTCACTTGGGATGAGAAGGGACTGTGGAGCCCGCTGCACACAGGCGAGAACAAGGGACAGGCAGGGGGCCTGTTATCAGGACGCGTGCTGGTTTCTGCCAGCCCAACCCCATGTTCTAGTAGCAAGAACACCCTGATTTTCTTCTTAGAAAGTCTTCAGGCCTTTCTAAAACTGCGTAGTCACTCCATGACAGATTTTTTTTTTTTTGGAAGGATCTTTTTTTTTAAAAGATTTATTTTTATACAAGAACCGGGGTAACAGGGCAGAGGCGCAGGAGGGTGAGAGGATTCACCAGAGACAAAGCGGGGAACAGAACAGGCAGACTGACTGAAATACATTGCTGAGGGGAGCAGCGGGCATCGTGACGGGAGATCTGCCACGCCATGTGGGATCTGCCTGGCTGGCCAGGATCGAACCCACGCTACAGAGGCTGCCGACAGCTTCACAGCGCTGTGCTCAACCTGCTGCGCCACCGGGGAGGGCCTCCGTGACAGATTTAGTACAACCAGACTCCCAGCCCAGCACGCAATCACCCCTGGCACCACTGTCACCGAATCAGGGCCCAGGGGGAAGAGAAGATCCCTGCGCCCGGCCACCGCCTACCCTTTCTGCTGCCGGTAGTTCTGCATCTCTAGTGCGGCTTTTCGCGGGAAGGTTCGGAGGAGCTTTAGCACTTGCTGTTTCCAGGACAGCAGCCGTTTCTTCTGCGTCTCCGTGAAAGCCTAGAATCAGGGAGGTGAAGCAAGGGGGGGGGGCACGTCTTTTGGATCCGCCTTTCATTCACTCAAGTATGTACTGGGTTAGGGGTTAGGGTTAGGGCTCTGTGCTAGGCGAGGCCAGGATGCACAGGTGACCTGCACATGTGAAGCGCACAGCGTAGCTGGGGAGAAGCTAGATGTGACCCAAGCTGAGATGAACACTGAGGGAGAGGCACGGGAGAGACAAGACCTAGTCTATGGGGGTTGGAGGCCAGCGTGCACGCTGCCTGCTGAGGGGAGGGAGGGGTTCTTGCTGGCGAGGAAGGAACTGCTCTGAGGAGCAGCAGCAGACAGGGCATCCAGGAAGCCAGCACTGTGAGAGGGGGGCTGGAGAGGCGGGTGGGCACCCTGTTGGCCACATAAGGAATGGTGGTCCTGAGGACTGGGCAGATTTTCACTTTCTCGGAGCCCCAGAGAAGGCCTCACCTCATGAGTCAGGCACTTTTCGATGAGCTGGAGGTAACTGGTGATGTTCTCCTCGTCCGGTCGGGACACCAGCAGCTGGGTGCACACTGGGGACACCAGAAAGGCAGGAAGTTAGTCCCCAGCATGCCCTCTGCCATGCTCCAGCTTCCCTGGCCCCAGATGGATTGGTGCATAAGGAGGGTCAGGAAACTCAGCATGGATGAGCACCCACTAGGGGGCTGGCATGGCATCTGGCTCAGAATATGTAAAGTGTTGTACAGCACCCACCACAGTGCCTGGCACAAGCAGATAACTCTTGCAACAATCTCAACAATGTAGGCATCATTTTCAGTCTAATGAATCTGAGAGACAGATGCTGAGTCGCCTGCCCAGGGTCACACAGCTAAAAGAAACCATCCATGTGAAAAGGCGGCTAAGCCACGCTGTGTCAAGGCAGGTCGGACCCATTAAGAACTGCACCATCTCCATCCCCTGGACTTCAAGTTCCCTCTGAGGACCACTGGATTCACCTTATCTGCTCCTCTTTTACTGCCTGCCGTTTCCACCGACACTTAGTCTTCTGCTCAGGTCAGAGAGGGTGAAGGCTCTCTCCCACCAACAGCCTGGACATACCTGAGGGCGGGGACCTTGCCACCCCCCAATCACCTCAGCCACTGTCTGCAGTATTCTAGTCCCTGGGATGCTCCTCAAAGTCCAGTTCCCAGCATTTAACACAGCTCTGATCCCTAATGCCTAGGTTCGCTAGCTTACCATCCCAGAACTTTCTGCCAGGCCCTCAGTCTCACCTTTGCCCATCACCCGTGTAAACTGGCTGGGGATGTCTCCGTCCGCGACGGGAGCTGGGGCAGGCTCACTACCATCAGTGGGAGCCGGAGCTGGTGGAGGGGGGTAGCTCTCTGCAGCTGGAGGGTCCTTGGCCTCAGTGCCCTTATCTGTGCTGGGATGAGCCAGGGGAGGTTCAGCACCTGGCAGCGATGGGTCCCCACAGCCCCCATCCTTGGCAGTAGAGGCGGAGGTGGCGGCGGCGGCGGCGGCAGCGGCGGCGGCAGCCACTGTGGCCTGGAGGACACTGTAGGCCTTGATGGGGGTGATGATGATCTGCTGCAGCTCCTGTAGCGCGTTTCGCAGGTTCCCGCCTTCCAGCACATCCTGGGTGGAAAGGAGGGGGGGGCGCAGAACCCCACCTCAGCCTCCACAGCTATGAAGCATAACTACACAGGCAGGGTTTGCGGAAGGCTGCTAGGACCCCGAGATGAGCACAAGGAGAAGGCAGGTAAGGGAAGGCAAGCCCACTGCGGGCGTGCGCATCTGCACACACCCTCCTCCTTGCCCCTCCCAGGCAGCGCAGCAGAGCTCAGGAGATGGCGAGCTAATGCTGAAAGCAAGATTCCCAGATTCCCCTATGATGGAAGCAGATTCAGAACCAGAGATTCAGACCAAGACCCGGAAGGGGGTGGGGTGGGGGTGGGAAACCAGAGGGAAAATGTCAGGTACAGAAAAAAGGAGAGCAAATGGGGTTGGACATGCAAGAACAAGTGGGTAAGAAAGAGTCCAGTGGGACGAGAGTCCATGCACACAGAAACATCCCAGCTGGACCGGGAAGATCAGTAAGAAATGGAAACATAAAAGGCGAGAGAAGGGATCAAGCCAATAGAAGTCTGGAGACACAGGCCAGAACAGACAGGGGCGGGAGTCTCTTAGCTGCAGGCAAGCGAGCCCTGTGACCCGACCTACACTGGGGGCCTGTCTCCCCAGGCCCAGGGAAGCCCAGTGGGGAAACCACCTGGGCTGCAAGGCTGAGCCAGAGCCTTTAGTCTACTGGTAGGAGTAGCCAGTTGGCCCTAGAGATGGGGATACCAGCACCTCACCTTCTCCAGGGACTTCAGGACGCTCTGTCTCTCGCGCAGCTTCTGGATGCTCAGGGCTATCTTGTGGCGGGCACCTTTAGTGACATTCTGTGGTAGGGGCAAAAGGGGCGGGAAGCTAGTAATGGATGGCTGATGTACCTGGAGGTACCCCAACAAGGCCCAAAGAAACAGGGGAGGCTTGGGCTGCAAGGGTAGTATCAAAATGATGCTACCTCCAACACCTCCCTGATGGTCCCCTTGGCTTCACCTGAGACTCCAGGTGCTGCTCAGTCAGTGTCATCATCTCTTCATAGCTCATCTGTGAGAAGAGGGCTGCATACTTGTGTAAGCGGAGGCTCTTGAGCCACGTGGGGACATCTGTGGAAAACGAGAGAGAGGAAGTGAGGTCAAGAATCTGGCCCTGGTGGTGAGCAGAGGGGCTGTGGGGGAGGGACCGGGCGTAACCACAGGCAGTCTTAAAAGCTGCAGAGAACTGGAAGGGGGAAAGGGACAAGCTTCAGACTTCTTTCACCCAGCCAGACCCTTTCAGGTGGCCTTCCCTGATCAGGACATCTGACCCTGGCGAGCTGCTTGGCTGAATGCACACGGGAACAACCTCGTTGATCTCTCTCAAAGTCTTCCAGGAACCTCTGCTCCATCAGCTACCACTGTGACCTGGCTTCCTTGTCAGAAAGGCCTCTGTGGGGCCTCTCGCCACAAAACCAGGCCTGTGGGTAGACATGGGGTCTCTCTGGCTACTCTTGAGTCTTAAGCATGGGGTGTATGCTTGCTCCTCCCTCAGACCAGTCCCACTCCAGGGAGGAGGTGGGTAGCAGGCAGCTACCGGCTCCCCTCTGTCCTCTAAGTTCTGCAGAAGCCTCTTTCCAGTGCTGCCCTGCCCCCGTACCTTTCATGCCACTGCCGTCCTCTTGGAAAGTGTTTCGGCTGGAGCCCTGCTCCTCCGTCTGCTCACTGCCAGAGGAGGCCACGCTACTCTGGGGCGAGAGGGGTGCGTGGTCGGGCGTGGTGAAAGCAGCCCTGGCCCCAAGCTCCTCTGGACTCGGCCATTCACCAGGGGCCTGGGGGCTTGTGGGGATAAGCGACATGGAGCGCTTCAGCGGGCTGGGGTGGATTTGGCAGGGGAGACCTGGCCAGAGGGGAAGAGAGGCAAGAGGTCAGGCTCGCAGACATGACCACAGGAGACAATGACCCCACTCAGTGCTCCAGAATCCAACAAGGGTCCCTGGGGTCTTCAGGAACCACCTACTAGATACTTCTTGTTCTTTAACCTCCTGTATCAAACCCATCGGCCAGCTGCCAGTCACTTCTCTGAACTGCTATGCTAGCAACCCAGGCCCGTCACTGGTGCCTCTCACTGGAATGACTGACACGACCTCCTCCCTAGTCCCCGGCCTTCATTCTTCCTTCGGCTCATTCACCTCACCGAAGTCTTACTTGTCGTTCTCAAAACTTGGTCATGCTGACCATGTCAATCCTGAGTCCCAGCTTAAATACCAGCCGTGGCTTCTCTTCATGCTGAGACTACATCACATCTTCCACACACTTACGAGGCCCTGAAAGACCCGGGCTCTGTTCATCTCTCTCCTATCATCTCCTACAACTCCTCACTGTTCAGTTCAAGCCTTCCTCGCCTCTGCTTGTCGCCCCCCCGCCCCCCGCATCTCCCTTCCCCATCACCTTGCGGTTTATTCCTGGAACACACCAGCCTCTTCCCAATTTTACCTCCTGATCCTAGCAGTAGGCTTCCTCTGGTCTCAACTCCAGCATCACCTCTTTGGAGGCTTTCCATGAACCTGTGGCTGCCTCCTCCCCTGAGTCCTGATCGCTCTAGCCTATCAGTCTGTCTTATCACCTTCCCGTATCGATTGCAACCTGAAATGATCTTACCTAGTTATTAATGTTATGCCCCTGTTAGAACAGAAGGCCCGTACAGCAGACACCTATCCTGTCTTAAACATTACCATATCCTCAGTAATTAGAGTGGGCCTGGCTTCGTTAGTTCTTGCAAAGTCAGCAAATGAAGTACATATAAACTGCTTCCTCAACTCCCTTTTGTTGCACCTTACCACCTCCCAAAGATTTTTCCTGTCTTAGCCCTCTTCTACAGGACGGTTCACGCCCTCCAGCACCCATCCCATTCTTGTAGAGGGATCCAGCTTAATTTTTTTTTTAAGATTTATTTATTTTTATACAAGAGCTGGGGTACAGGCCAGAGGCATGGGGAGGGTGAGAGGACTCACCAGAGAGAGTGGGGAACAGAACAGGCAGACTGACTGAAACACACTACTGAGGGGAGCAGCAGGCGCGACAGGAGAGGTCTGCTGCGCCATGTGGGTTGCTCCCTGGCCAGCCGGGAATCGATCCTGTGCCGCAGAGGCTGTGGGCAGCTTCACAGCACTGCGCTCAACCTGTTGCACCACCGGGGAGGCCCTTCAGCTTGATTTTTAATCATGCTCCAGACAGGGTAGGTTCCCACAGGCTTCCAGACCTTTGCACACACTCTCTCCTCGGTCTGGTTCCCCACCCTTCCACCTTTATCTTCTAGTCATTTCAGCCATTCCCCGACTCAGCGGCTGCCTCGTTGTGTTCCCAGGGCTCCCCAGGCATCTTTGCATGCCCAGGACTAGGCACAGGGTATGACACACAGGAGCCCTTAAAATTTCATACACGCCAAAGGGATGACACCCACAGTACCAAGGGTGTCAAGGGGGTTCCTGGGCTTCACAAAGGGAATCTAGAAGTACCCAAGTCAAAGAAAAAGGAAAAGAAACAAAACCAGAAAGTCTCACTGTAGGTAGGTGAGAATATCGAAGCTGGGGGAACGGAAGCCCTTTGCCCCAGTTCCCACAGGGAGCAGAGGCAGAGAGAGAAGGCTAGCCCAGTTCTGATGGAAAGGCTGGGATTCCTGCCAGTGCCCATGGACGCCCCACACAGGAAGGCCGACCAGCGCTTTCTATCAATGACAACATCTGTGCTCCTAGCTAGGAAATCACCTGAGGGAGCGAGCAGTGCATTAACTCATCCCCTAAAGGCCAGTCTCCACCCCTGTCCATAACCTTTGGGGTCCTCTACTTAGGACTCCTTCCAAATCTCTGGATTCCCACAAGAGGATAGCACACGCTGGGCCCTGGGGGACCCTCAGGTGCCCCACATCCCTTTTTTCCCTTCTCAGTCTGTAAGGGGGCAGGCGAGGCTGAGAGGGCAGGAAATTACCCTGATTAGAACGAGTGTGCAGTTCCTGAGGAGCCTTGCTTGGCCCCGAGCTGGGGTGGAGGCTGGCCACAGTACGAGAACTATAAAAACAGGAATGCCGGCTGGAGATCCAGGGCCTCACTCTCTCCAAGAAACTCTGGTCTGTCCTTGGCAGCACCCCAAACCTACCCTGCCTGTCCCTACAGGCCAATCCCTGCTCCCCACTCAAAAATATTTTAATGGTTTCCTGTTTCCTGCAATTGCTTGAATTTGAAAACCTTCATTCTATCCTTCAAGGCCCCCCAGAATGTGGTTCTCGAATATACGGAGATCTGGGAGTCAAGACAGATCTGAGTGCAAAAGCTAGCTCTGCCACCTACTAAGCAGGACCTGTGCTCCTCGACAAGTCACCGCACTCGCCCCTCTGCCTCCATTCCAGGTGAAGTTCTGCCAAGACAGGCAGGCACATGGGAAGCACAGATATTTGCAACTGCTGCTACTCACTGAAATCCTTGTACCTGTCCATCCCAGTCAGACCTCTGCCTGCACACCTCCACTTGCCACACCTCAGCTTGCCAATGATGCCTTTAATTCATGCTGTGTGTTTTGCCTGGAACACCCAACTCCTCTTTCTCTTCTGGTTCAAATCCTAGTCTGGTCCTTTAAGAGCTGCTGGTCCCATTGTGGGACCCTGAAGAAATGTATGGGCTCCCTGCATGGATGACCCTTCCCCTTGATGAGGCTGAGTATCTCTAGGAGGGTCACTTTTAGGCAGAGGCAGTGCAGCATAGTAAAGAGTATAAGCTGTGGAGCCAGACTGCCTGGACTTAAATTCTGGCTATATCACTTTGGGCAAGTTACTTTTCTGTGACTCAGCCAATGAATTTACAGGTATAAAGTTCTCAGAACAGCTCTTGGCAAGTCAGTGTATTTTTTTTTTAAAACTATTTCTCGGGGGTCTCCCTAGGGGTACAGGGGGTTGAGCGCAGCACTGTGAAGCTGTCTGCAACCTCTGCAGTGCCAGTTTGATCCCCGCTGGCCTTGGCGCAATCCACATGGCAAGCAGACCTCTCCTATCTCGCCTGCTTCTCCCCTCAGCAATGTATTTCGTCAGTCCGCCTGTTCTGTTCCCTGCTCTGTCTCTGGTGAGTCCTCTCACCCTCCAGTGCATCTGCACTGTACCCCAGCTCTTGTATTAAAAAAAAAAAAAAAAGAAGAAGAAGAAAGAAAAAAAAAAAAAACTATTTCTTGGGCCTCCCTGGTGGCACAAGGGGTTAAGTACCGCACTATGAAGCAATCCACAGTCCCTGGAGCACAAGTTCGATCCCCGGCCGGGCAGCGAGAAACCCACACGGCGAGGCAGACCGCTCTGGTCTCACCCGCTGCTCCCCTCAGCAGTGTATTTCAGTCACTCTGCCTGTTCTGTTCCCCACTCTGTCCCTGGTGAATCCTCTCAACCCCTCGCATCTCTGGCCTATACCCCAGCTCTTGTATGCATAAATAAATAAAACTTTTTAAAAAACAACTATTTCTCAATATAACATAGGTAACATTTTACTTTTTTTAAGATTTATTTATGCATACAAGAACTGGGGTACAGGCCAGAGGTGTGGGGGGGTGAGAGGATTCACCAGAGACAGAATGGGGAACAGAACAGGCAGAATGACTGAAATACACTGCTGAGGGGAGCAGCGGGCGAGACACGAGAGGTCTGCTGCACCATGTGGGTGCTGTGTTAAACCACCTGTGTCACCAGGAAGCCCATTGGTCAGTGTATTTTAACTAGAATCATCACTATTTATATGTCCTCCCAATCTGAACTCAGAAACTGATGCTCTAAGACTGAAAAACAGGAGCCAAGATGCCTTGAGTTGTCAGACAAGCCCTCCTAGCCCTCCATCTTCCCTGATTCTTGCCCGCGCCTGGGAGGAGGCAGGTGAACAGGGCATCTATATTTAGCTGGAGAAGAAACAGGGTCAGAGGGAACTGATAGTTACCATGTGCCACATAGCTGTGCAACAGAGACCCAGGGTTCATCCCACCCAGTGACACAAATGACATTTCACTGTTACTCTCTCCAGGCCAGCTTTAGCCAGTGCCTGCTAAAGGGCCCAGCTACCCTAACATTTAGTCTCAGAAACCTCTTGCCCTGATTAAGGTCATGTCACCTTATCAAAGCTTCCCTTTCCTGTTCATTTTAACTAGTGTTAAAAAAACTGACCGGAGGGCCTCCCTGGTCATGCAAGGGGTTAAGACGCAACCTAAGAAGCTATTTATAGCCACTGCAGGATGAGTTCGATCCCCGGCAAGGGAGCAACCCACATGGCGCGGCAGACCTCTCCTGTCTCGCCCGCTGCTCCCCTCAGCAATGTATTTCAGTAGATCTGCCTGTTTTATTCCCCACTCTGTCTCTGGTGGATCCTCTCACCTCCTTCCCTCCCACCTCTGGCCTGTACCCCAGTTCTTATATGCATAAAAAAATAAATCTTAAAAAAAAAAACCTGACTGGAATATCAGCTCGTCCTACTTGTTGCAGTCTCCAGGGTATTTATCCTAAGGGTGCCTTTTCAAGTGGTTTCAAGACCACTTAGTTGGTAAGACAGCTCAGCAGTCAGAGGCAAGTTCTGGCATCAGAATCCCTGGGTGTGAACTTCTGTTGTTCCCACCACTTACTCTGTGTGACCTTGAATTCATAGCTTCACCATTTTTGAGCCTCAGTGTCTTTACCTGTAGTATGGAGCTAATGATGTAATAATGATGAGAATTAAATGAGATCCGATCTGAAAAGTGCTGGCCAAAGAGCAGAGTCAACGCTCAACAATGTCATCCATGATCACTAACCAGTACCTTGCAGCATGAGTTACATCTGGGAAGATTAGGCTTACAAACAGGTACCTCAGAAATAAGGCTATAAATTGAGACCATATACAAAAATGCAGAATGTCAGATCATGATCATGAACCCAATGTCTTCAGAAGTTGGAAAAGTATCAGACAGGCCCAAAGGGAGTAGGTCAATTTGGGCACATGTGCAGGGCTAAAGGGGATGACTAGTATTCAACTCCATCGCAATGTTTTTTTAAAGCAAGGCATGCAGTTTGGCACACAATTTTAGATAAACCTAAAAATGTTCTTCTTTGGCCTCCCTGGTAGCGCAGGGGTAAAGTCTCAGCGCTATCAAGCTATCAACAGCCACTGCAGCACGAGTTCGATCCCCAGCCAGGGAGCTACCCACACGGCACAGCAGACCTACCACTCTCCTGTCTCGCCAGCTGCTCCCCTCAGCAGTGTATTTCAGTCGATCCGCCTGTTCTGCTCCCCACTCTGTCTTTGGTGAATACTCCACCTCTGGCCTGCATCCCAGTTCTTACATGCATAAATAAATAAACCCTTTTTTTAAAAAAAGATTTATTTTATTTATACAAGAGCAGCATGAGGGTGAGAGAATTCACCAGAGACAGAGTGGGAGCAGAACAGGCAGCGGGCGAGACAGAAGAGGTCTGCCACACCATGTGGGTATCTCTCTGGCGGGCTGGGAATCGAACCCACACTGCAGAGGCTGCGGACAGCTTCACAGCACTGTGCTCAACCCGCTGTGCCACCATGGAGGCTCAATAAATCAATCTTTAAAAAAAAAAAGTTCCTCTCAACTCATTATTATTGCTACCAGGAATAGGGGCTTTTGATTTTTCAAGAGAAACTAAAACCTAGATTTTTAGGGAAAAATTCCCCACACCTACTATCACTTCATTTACTAAAAAACAAGAGTCTTGTTGAGTTTGGGCTCAATAAAATATGTCTGCAGGGTCACATATAGCTCTAGGAATGCTAATTCAAAGCCTCTTCACTGCCTCATAAAGCTGAGGTCTAGAGAGGTTATGTGACTTGCCCAGGGCCATGCAGTGGTGAAGAGAAATCCCAATCTGACCCTTTTCGAGCAGGCACGTCTCCCCTAGGATCCCCACCCCCTCACCTGCATTTGCGTTGCTCCCAATACTGTTGATGGCTGGCGGCACCGAGCTGGGTGGGTGGAAGGGCACGTGTCCATTTTCCCGGGGTGGCTTGTCCTGCCAGCCTGGTCCTGCCTCTCCAGGGCCCAGCTCTGCAGGCCCCCCCCATTCATCTGAGCCCTGGCGAGAGTGGTAGGTGGGTTCGGGCCGGGTGCGGAAGCCACTAGCCAGTCGCTCTTCCAGGTGGCTCAGCCAGAGGGCCAGTGCGTTGCGGTCCTCCAGTGTGGTGGCTGGGTGGATGAGGGCATAGGAGAGCAGCTGGCGGCTCTCCTCGATGAAGGCGTTGCTCTCAATCGAGTAGGCCAGCACTTTCTGCAGCAGCCTCATGTACTCCGACTTGGCCTCTGTGTTGCCTGGCTGAAGGAGGGGCAGGTGGGACAGCAGCAGGGACACCACCTTCTCTTTGGACTCCTGCTGCCACTGGCTGACGATGGCTGCGGAGGGGACAAAAAGGGATGTCAGGGAAGCCATGAGGGCTGCCATTAGCTTGCTCCCTCAGCTCCAATCTCGCCTCCCTTCTCCTTTCACGATCTCTGACCTTCTTGCTCACATAAGATCAAACACACTCAGCCTTGCTACCAGTAATTTTTCCCGGTTCCACTGAGAAAAACCTACTGTAGTTCCCAACCACACATGCTTTTCTGCAGTCAAGCTCCTCCTGCTACCTCTACGCCTGCTCGTCTTGCTGTATTCCCACCGGTCATTTTCATGGCCTCCACCCCTTATCCCCTGACTATCAAACCCGCCTCCTTGCTGACCGGAGAGGACGCTGGGATATAGTGGTGAAAAGCTTGGACTCTGAAATCAGGTGGTCTGGACTCCCCAACCTACTAACTGGACCCTGGGGAAATCACCTTGAAACTCAAGATCACTGACTTCCTTACCTGAAAAATTCTGGAGATAATTATAGTACCCAATTGGCAGTGTTGCTCTGAGAGTCAACGAGCTAATAAAGAATGACAAGTGGCTGCAGAACATTTAATAAATGCTTGCTGTTGTACTTTAACTGGACTCTCTACTTCTAGATTCTCCCCTCTAATCTGTCCCACACCCCCAAATGGAGATACCTTCCTACAGCACACCAGCATGTCATCTTCCTGACCAGGAGCTTACAATGGCAACCAGCACCATTAGACTCAAGTTCAACATCACCTTCATTTCCAGGGTACTCCCACTTTCTTTTTCTCCAGATAAAAACTGAGCTCGGGACACCTCCATCTTCTCTGGGCCCTTTAAGTCTCCAAATTCAAGCTGCTGAGATCCAAGTTTGTAGCCTGCAAGAGTCTCCTGACTCCACGGCAGGAGTGACCTGGTGATATCTCCTTCCCAACTCACGCCATAAAGGCCTGAGTGTATCCTGGGGAGATTAACCAGGTTTACCCTCTCAACCCAGAAGAGAGCTCTCCAAGATAACAGCCTCGGCTGGCCACATAAAGTAGGCTTTGGGAAGGAACTGGTACAGGTCTATCTTCCTTGAAAACCCTATTCACACATCTATGACGAGCTCAGTGGGGTCAGGATGGGGATAATGCTGACAAGGCAAAGGAAGAAGACAAATACCCACACTGGCGAAAAGAGACAATTTATCAAGGGCTGGTGCCAAATCTGCCCTCACTCTTGGATAACTGAGCTCACACCTGTAGTCAAGACAATAATTTGCAAACACCCAGCAAGAGAGATGAGCTATGAGGCTACTGGTGGGGCCAAGGAGCTGACCACCTGGACACAGGGGTGGGTGAGGCAAAACAACATGCAGAGATGTGGCTTATATCCCTTCTCTTCCATTAACTGACCATGTGGCTCAGGGCAAATGTGAAATGTGATCATTTCTCTGGGTTCTACTTTATCTATCTGTACAGTGAGGCTCACAATCTTTCCTACTTAGTATGGTTGCTATGAATTAAGTGAGACCCACATACAAAGTTGGGCACAAAGTAAATCCTCAGTAAATATCCAATGCTATCTCTAGCATCACAATTATTATACCTTACTGTGGCTCCTTTCTTTCAAATACCCACAGAGATTCTATTTTTAAAATTTATTTATGCATATAAGAACTGGGGTGCAGGCCAGAGGACTCACAGAACAGGCAGAACCACTAAAATACACCGTTGAAGGGAGCAGCGGGCACCAGGAGAGGTCTGCTGTGCCATCCCACAGAGATTCTAAAAGCACAAGCTACCATCCCAGGACACAGAGAGGCTGGAAATGGAACCTATGTAAGGAATGGCTCAGAATCCCAGGCATCTGGGTGTCAAGTAACCCCCAGTCTGGGTTACTCTACATCTGATGGCATCTCAATCCAACTTCCTAAGGGCTTAAGATTCTAAGGATCTTTAGATCCCTCTGTCCTCACTATAGGCCAGATGCCTGGCAACTTGAACCTCGTATAAACATGATTTAGCACGCCTTTCATACATTTCTCTCTCTTAATGACCTGTGTGGAAATCTATGGCCAGGGAATCCACATAAATTCTAATTCTGCTTCAATTTGTAGCTCTAAGAAAATGAATCACACAAAACTCTCACCTCCTGGTCATATAATAGGACATTTTCTTGGCCTATGCCACTCTGCTTCAAGCTTCCTAGAAAACCCCTCTTAAAGTATCCAGGGATTTATCCCTTTATTCATAGTCATCCACGTATGCTATGCCCACAGTAATGGCCAAAACAACTACTAACACTACTACAAATGATAGAAATTATTGATGATAGTAAATATGAATAGTTTTTATTGAGTATTTGCTATGTATGTGCTGTATGCTAAAGACAAGCCGGTTTTTCAGCCTCACCTCAACCTTGTTTAAAGCATTCCCATCTTGTAAACGAGGAAAAACATTTTAAGGAAGGTGAAGTCATTTCCCCACTGGGACAACTGAGATCTGAAGCCGGGTCTGTCCACCTCTAGAACTGAGAGAAACTTTCGCCCACAGCCCTCTACAATCTCTCCAATGCCACCAAATCTCTTCTATCCCCATCCCTGGCTTCGCAGCTCCCCTTCTGGAACTGCCACTCAAGTCTAGGAAACACCCCTCCTCCATCTGTCTTCTCTCGACCCAGCTCCCCATGACCAAGAAGCAGTTTGTCATTCCCATATCCAGAGATCTTTCCCAGGTGGGACAGGCCTTCTTGGCATTAGGGAGCCTTCACCTTTCCCTTCCATCTGGATCTGGCCCTGGATCACATGGGAAGGAACTCCCTGCTACCCCATGTCCCTGGGCTTAGTCCCAGAGTTTTTAGTTCGTCATGAGAAGGAAGAAACAGTGACTCAGACTAGGGACAGAAAGTCAAGGACCTGCACCCCAGCTGTGTCATGAAGCTGTCCGGGCAATATGCGTCCCTTCTGTAAAAGCGGGATTACAGGGTTGCTCTGAAGGTTAACGGAGACAACCTGCATGGAAGGCACCAGTCTGACCACAGTGAGCACTCAGTGTGGGACTCAAGGATTGGTATTTTTCTCCCTCCTCCTCCTGCAGCTTGCCTACCCCTTCAGCCCTATCCTGATGTTCTCAATCGTTGTTGTTTAGGCCTCGAAGGGTAGCCAGAAGCATCTGGGACAGAGAGCGGCCTTGTCTAATCCCTCCCCCACTTCAGAGTACTGCCAGGACCCCAGGGCTGAGGGACACAGCTTCTCCTCTGGTACTGCCAGGGGATGTGACAGAACAGCCCCAAGGGTTGGGCTCAATGAAGGACCTTGTTCTGCTGTGGAAAAGGGAAGAGTGGTTTTGAACAAATGGAGGCTGACCCTGGGGAAATGTGTGTTCGTGTGTCTGTGAGGCAGTGTGGTGGGGAGGGTGGGCCTCCCATGACTGGGAAGCATCAGTGAGCACTGGAACTGGGCCAAGGAATTTAAGCAGCCTCAGGCCCCTTGGGGTGAGCCCAGCTGGGGCTGCAGATGACGGGTGGGGATGGAACTTCTAGTCTCCTGCCCAGATCAGAGAAGTCTGGCACAGAGTTGAGGCACAGCAGAGGTCCAATGAATACCTGCACAATTGAACCCAGATGGTCCCCTGGAAGACAGTGGTGTCTACGTGTGTAGGATGTCCCATGTCTAGGATCCCTGGACCTCAGGTCACCCTGCCCATGTCCTAGCAGAGTAGATGGAGTAAAAACAAGTTCAATAGACAAATTTGCCTAGATCTGAAATCCAGTTCTGCCTCTACGACCTAGGCCAACACAACTGTGGGCCAGGCCTTTAACCTCTCTGCCCTGGGCTCCTTTTCTGTACAGTGAGAAGTAAAAGCGCTTACATACAGGACTATTGTAAGAGTCTATGGGACAACACTGCAAAGCACCTGGCTCCAGACATTTTTACTATAGTTGCTCCTGGTTAAAGATCTACAGCCAACCCTGTTTTGGGGTAGGGGGAGCAATTCATGTAGGAGGGCATATATGGGCCTCCCCCTTAAGATTCCCGATAGGGGTGGTTATTTACCAAAACCAGACTATGTCTCTGGTTCCTCTGAACTGGAGGCACAACAAGCAATGATGAAATTCTGGAGGTGGGCGGATGGAGGAGGGGGCAGGGGAAATGCCATGACGCCAATGGCTGCTTCTCACCAAGTGCAAACCTGGAATCCATATGCGTGGCGAGCATGAACAGACTGTACATGTGAGCGCCCTGCTTGGCCAGGTGACCAGAGCTAAGTAGGTCATGACCCTGGGTTCTGGCAAACCACAGGAGCTAAATATATCTTGGAGACTGCCGTAAGAGCAAACCCATTTTTATGTGCTGGGCTGTTGCAACCATCGTGGCAGCCTCAGGCACCAGTCAAGGGAACTGGGGTTTGGCTCCAAACATGTCCTTCTCTGCCTCACCCCAGTTCACACAAAATGGGGGAGGGCTGGGGGCTTACATTTTTGTTTGATGAACTGTGTCAGTAGAGCTTGAAAGGGGAGGGTGGAGGCATCAGAGTTGAGCTCTCTGGTGACTCACTCGGCCACAGCCTCATCCTGACCTCAGTTTCCCCACCCAGATTCAGTGAGCCAGAGAGGGAGGGGCTTCAATCATCTGGATGCAGACTCTAAGGACAGGAGGGAAGAGGAACAGGAAATGTGGCCCAGGAAGCCATAGGACCAGGGAGGGAAGGGGATTTCAGCTTTCCTGGTGCCACCCGCTGATCCAAAAGTGAGCATCAGGGTGAGAGGACCAGGGTTACTGTTTTAGCTCCAAACAGGCAGGGAAGACAGTACACGGAGAAGGAACAGGGGTGACAGGAAAGGGAAACCAGGGGCCTCTCTCCCTGTCCCAGAGACCCTTGGGGGATTATGTTGCGTTTCTGTCCCCAGATTGTCTCAAATTCTGCTTCCAGGAAGCCAACACTGGACTCTCAGGCTGGGGGATTCCTCCTACCCCCTAGGCCCTCCCCAGGTTCTTGGGAGGAAGGGACAGCTCAGGCCAGGCTCCTCTTCCACAGCACTCCCAGGAGGCCACATGACAACCCCTCGTCACCTTTCTGGGCCCGGCCAGAATCACCATCAGTATCAAGACAAGCGGCTCCTTACTGAGTGTACACGGGAGGCTACTAGGGAGGTTAAAAATACCAGAACCTCTGGGGACAGGACCCAAGTATTCTTATTCCACCCTCGGGTGATTCTGGGGTGGGAAACCATTCCCCCCGATCAAGCCCTCTGTGCTCCCTGCCCTTACTGAGGAGACAGGGAGGGAGGCATCTCTGACTAAACCCAAACCTGAGCCCAGGGAAAAGTGGATTCCAGATAATCTTCCCTGGGAAAACTGAAGAAAGGCAGGTGAAATATGGAGCAGAAGCCTAGAAAGAAAATCTGCCTCGCTGTGCCTTGCTGTTCAGGCCTAACTTGAAGGGACCTGAAAAACTAAAGGGGGACTTCAGGTCCCACCACCGGCTGCTCTGACCCAGGGACTGGTGGGCCAAGGTAACTTAAGATTTAGTTTGTGGGCTGTGTCTCTCTTGATGGAGGGGAGGGGCACACTCTTTGAGGGGTCCACCAGTAAAATATTAAGTGCTTTAGAAGAAAAAGCTGGGCCCCCAAACAAAGTATTATGCTTAGTTGTGGCTCCACCTTCACTGGCACATTACTTCAGAGCCCAAGAAGCCCTTGAAGATTATCTAGAGCAAGTCTTTCACTGTCCGGGCATGGAGCCTTAGGAGCAAGAAGGGTAGGGCTGGCCCAGGGCACAAGAGCGGCCAGTTACAGAGCTGAATTTAGAACTCCCGGGTGTCCTCATCCCTAACCTCCTGTTCCATGACAAATGAATCACTTCCAGGTCATCATCTCTCAAACTACTACCGCCTGGTCAGCAGAAGAACCTGGGTGCTCATTCCCAGGCCTGTCCCCTCAGGATTCTCACTTAGGGGTCTCAGTAGGAGGGCACAGAAATCTGGATTTTAATAGATTTCTATTAAATAGAAATTTAAATAGATTTCACCCACCAGGTGATCTTGCCAATGATGCAAGTGTGGGAAACACAAGGCCATAACGGAGAGCGGAGAAACAGGCAGAGGACGCACAGCTCCTCCCACGAGGCAGCCCCCAGGCCCAAGGAATAGCTCCTTCTCTCACAAATACGAGACAGGGACTGTTGTGCTTCAGGGTAGGTGCACGACAGGAAACAGCTTCTTAGTCTTAGAGCATGCCTGTCTGTTAGGAAAGATACCTCAAGGTCCTACAAAACACTTTGCTCTCCCATCATGCTTTGCTCCAAGTGGCAGGCTCCCTGCTGACTCTGGAATACACCATGGCCCTCCATTTCTTGGCTCATTCTAAGTTTTCCCTACCTCTAAATATCGGCTTGTTATATCCTCACCATCTGACATACGCTATGGAGAAAAACTTTGATTCACGAGTCAATTCACTCCTCGGCAATTCTACCCTCTGGCTGGGCATTACCCGCAACATCTCAATTCAAACCATTTGGGATGGGGCTCAGGTTCTTTGTGAAAAGCGTTCCATGTCTTTCAAGGGCAATGTGCTAATATCAAATATTTTAAATGCACATAATTTCACACTAGTAGTTCACAGAATCCTAGGAATTTATTCTAGAGATGCTTAAAGGGTACTTATCACAACACTGTTTATACGAGCAAGACCAAACACACCACGTTGTAGAGTCCACTGGCCAAGAGCAAGAGCTCTAAAGTTAAACGTCAGCTCTGTCCGACTCGCCGTACAGCCCGGGGGAAGTGACTTAACTTGTCAGGGCCTTGGTCCCCTCACGTGTACAATGGGGTAACAGTAGTACCCGCCTTACAGAGTTACCGTGTGAAGGTTAAGGGAGTAATAAAGGTAAAAAGTGAAACACTGCTTGGTACACAGGCAGGGCTCTATAAATGTTCTCTAGTCCTATTATGTAGATAGTAACAGCAATGAGATCCACATACACAGATTGATGACGAAATGCTCTTCAAGCTATGTTGTTAAGTGAAAAAAGCAAATTGGTTAGCAGGCACTGTATTTTGCTCTGTGTTAAAACAGTGAAGAGGCTGGAAGGAGAACATGTGTGTGCTCATACATGCACAGATTATTTCACAAAACACATAAATTAGGACTGTGAAAGTCTGGAAGGGAGATTGTCCCTTCACTTGGCTTGATTTTAATACAAAGTTTAAAAGCAAAAGCCAAAACTATAATAAACAAATAAACACCACTGGTGATTCTGATAGACAACCAGACTAGCACCCAGTGCCCATTCACCTGCTCAGTGGGCGGTGGTGATGTGTGACAAAGCTGTGCCAGATAATGACCTGCTCCCAAAGGAGCCACCACTCTGGGGGTACAGGTATACCACAACCTTAGAACTCCCACTTCTGGTGCCAGAGGAAAGGGGTTTTAGGGAGGGTGAAGAAAAGGGGTGTGAATGGCTGATCTCTGAGCCTGCTGCAGGTGAACTGTGTTCCTGCTGCCATCAACGTCCACCAGACTGGGACTTGGGCTGGTGTTACTTCTGGCCTTAGGAACCATCTTTCCCCACAACCACTGTGCTTCTGTGGCTTGTGCATAGAACTCGGTATAGCAAAGGTGACTACTGTCTAAGGCAGGCGGGCCTGGCAAGATGAGGGAAGTTAGGCCGCTGTGTCCAGCTCCAAATCCCAGGCCGAGCAGCCCATGCTCATTTTTCTCAGCTGATAAATGGAGGTAATAACAGTACCTATCTCATGGGGTTGCTAGGAGGGCTAAATGTTATTAACAATAAAAACAAAAACTAACACTTACGGAGTGTTTATCACATGCCAGGCACAACTCTAAAGAGTTTACAACAGGGTCCTCCCTGGTGGCGCAAGCAGTTAAGATGCAACCTATGAGGCTATACCCAGCCACTTCAGCAGAAGTTCGAATCCCGGCCAGGGAGCTGACCCACATGGCGCAGCAGACCTCTCTTGTCTCACCCGCTGCCCACCTCAGCAGTGTATTTCAGTCAGTCTGCCTGCTCTGCTCCCCACTCTGTCTCTGGTGAATCCTCTCACCCACCCTCCCCCCCGCCCCCGGTACCTCTGGCCTGTACCTCAGTTCTTGTATGGATAAATAAATAAAATAAATCTTTAAAACAAAAACAAAAGTTGTTTATTTCTTAAGCCCGATCTGCCTCTGTTGGTAAAGAATAGTAGAATGAAAAAAAAAAAGAATAGAATGACTCATGGATTTTGGAAGAGTCCTAAAATTGTCTCCAGAAACTTGAAAAAAAATGAATGTTCTCCTTCCACTCCCCTTTCTTAGAATTTGTTCCTTTTAACCACCCAGACAAGTCACCCTATGTGATCTTTCTTCTGCCATGCGTTGTTTCCACTTTGCCCTGCCCTTCCTTAAGACTTCCCCCACTCCATGCTTGAGGGTATCTGGCAACATTGTCCCAGGAGACCCAGGATGACAACCTGGGAGGTCAGGGACTCTCCATCCACAAGCAAGCCTAGGGCCCACATTTCTTAGCATCATTGCTAGGTTGGCCTCCTCAGCCATTTGATAGGCACTCCTGGTAACAGGTGCTGCCATCTCTGGGGGTGAAGACTCACCAGCACTGTTGGCCTCCGACTCCAGCAGGTGGATGTCATTGCAGTCTGCCAGCGAGTGCTCCAGGCAGAGCTGCAGGAAGCGGGCCTGGGTGCGTGTGACTCGCTTCAGAAGCGACAGCAGGGCCACTGTCTGCTCACACTCATTCCAGCCCTTGAACCAGCCAGCAAGGATGCCCACCTGGTCTCGGAACATCATGGTGCCAGGCCTGGGGCCAGGGTGGGGGGGACGGCGGTGGCGAGGGCCAGCGCCGTCACATGGTCTCGGCTCTGAGCTCCTGTTACCTCTCCCCTGAAGGCCAGGGCTTGAAGATGCTCCGTAGCGTGGTGAAGAGGAGGAAACCTGCTCACATCGGGGGGAGGTCTTGGTCCAGCCACACCTCTCCAGGCTCCTGGAAGCAAGGAAGTCAGGGAGAATCAGGAGGTGAAACTAACTTAGTGAGTGTTGACCAACGGGACCCTTCAATCTCCAAATCCAGGGGAAAGGGCTGATTGGGACTCAGAAATCTATCCCAGAGACTAAGGTCTGAATGTCACAGAGCCAAAGGAAGCAGATTTAAAGCAGGGAGTAATATTTTCCAGAAATGGGAGAGAGGAAAGGCTGTGCACCATGGGAGAAGATCTGATTTCATGGAGAATGCTCCCAGCTGATACTACTAAACAGACGTTTGACATAACTAAGCAAGCGTGTGCTCTCCCAACCTTGCCAGTCTCTGGCCACCTCCTCTGAGAGGTACACAGAGAGACTGTTCACCTGCTAAAAGCACACCATGGACTCTATTAATTCAAACTAAGACTCACAAGGTTAGGATGTGGGTGGGTGAAGGGGTGGTGACCCCAGGAGGGATGTCAGGTATGTGGATAGCTACCTGATAAGTAACTTTCTGGGGGCCTAAAGACAGAGTGTGGACAGAGGCCTTTTCAAAGATCTTGAATAGGGCATCGCTCCACCTTCAACCTAGCTCTCCTACTCTGAAATAGGAACAGCTCTGATCTCTCAGATCCCACCTATCTCGGCTTTGAAGTGACACTCTCCCACTCCTCTTCATTGTCCTAAGGCTGTTCCCGACCCAATCCCTCTGAGTTGGAAGGTCCCCTTCACTCCCAGAGATTCAAGCTTGTCATCCAGACTCTTAAGAGCCAGGAGGATGCCAAACAGAGAAAGGGAAACAAAAGTCAAAAACTCCTGAGCAAGAAGGCGGACAAATTCCTCTTTTAGACAGGCACTACGTCAACTAGGCAGACAACAGGCCTATTCTTCAGCTGACTGGTTTCTGGACACTACTCTGAAAACTTTTTTCTCAGTGTCTCAAGCTCCAGGTCTCCACTCACATTTCCCCTGTCTGTCTCTCTTGTGACCAGTGCCTTTGGCTCCATCCCCAAACCACATTTGGCTCCATTCCCCTCTGGCTGCCAAGAGAACTGAGAACCCCATACAAAGACCCATTGAACCGGCTGGGCTTAGGTCTTAGGGAGCTACTGCCATCTCCCTGAATTTCCACGCTCCTGCTGAGGAAGGCCCTGAGGTGCATCAGACAATGGCTGTGACTCACCTCTCAGATCCTCAGTGACACACCTGACACGCCTGACCAGAGCATACTGGCCTGGCCATCAACCCCCTTAAGATATTAAGAAGGAAAAGTGTGTGGGGGTGGGAGTTGGGCGGGGGAAGGGGGGGAGGGATAAAACCTAGCTCCAAATTAAATAAATTGGCAGAGTTTTTTTTTAATGGAAAATCAAAAGTTGCCTCCCTGGCTTAAAATTCTCCAGTGACTTCCCATTGCACTTAAATAAAATTTAAACTAAACCCCAACTTCTCATCTTGGCCCACAAGGTCCTGCAGGACTCCTATGGCCTCTCCAAACTCATCCTGTATCAAGTTCTTTCTTGTTTCTGGAATCCTCTTTCCCCAGACTTATCTATGATTGGATACTACTTGTCACTCAGGTCTCAGTTCAATGTCACTTCCTCAGAGAGATCGTCCACGGTTCTCCAAACTAAGGAGTCTCTCCGTTGTCCTTATTATATGCTATTTGATTTCTTTTATATAATTTGACATCCACAGACTTCATTTATGTTTGTGCTTTTTTCTATTGCCCAGCAAAATGCAAGCTACATTCTCCTAGTGCCCAGCAGAATGCCTGGCACGTACAAGGTACTCTGTTGGTTGAATGAATGAATGGCTAAAAAGGCACAAACATGGAAGCCACACTTGGGACTTCTAATACCCTGAGAAGATAAACGGCCCACAGAATAGTAAAGGGATTTGGAAACCTTAAGAGAAAAAACCAAAGGCACTGGAGAAATTTCCCCCAGAGAAGACAAGACTCAGGGAGAGTGGCGGGCCAGACTTAAGACTATCTGAAGAACTAGATTTGTATTTTCACCCCAGAGGAGAATCAGGGTAGATGACACCAAGTTACAGAGGCGATATGGGATATAGGAAATGCTGAAAGTCAAGAAAATGCAGTTCTAGTCCTGCCCCAGTTAGTGACTCACTTTGATCTTTGAGCTAATTTCTGCGTCCCTTCTCTAGAATGTGCGCGACAGGGAGCTGGATGGGCTCAGCCGTGACAAATGTGCTTTCCCTGACAGGCTAACACTAATCGATTGGTAGTGGCTGCCTGAAGAAGTGAAGCAACGGGAAGACCCTTCAACGGGGAAGAATTAATAAACCGGAGCCCACCTATACAATGGGACAGTATGGAGCTAGGGGGAAAAATGCTTGATTCTGAGAGCAGAATACAAAAAAGTTATCTATATCTCTACATAGCACCTGCTCTTTAATGACCTGGAGGGATATCCATAAGCTGTGTAATAATATGCACAGGAAAAAAAATCATAAACAAAAACTCTTACATATCTTACACATAAGTATCTGTATATCTATAAAGAAGGGTGCAGGAAAAAAACACCCTAAGCTATTTATAGTAGTTACCTTGGGGAGAAGAAGGAATTACTAACACTCTTCCCTTTAATAACTTTGTATTACGGCACTAGTTGCAAGTACACACTTACTGCTTTTGTCATTTTCAAAGAGGACTTTAATTTTTTTTTTTTTTAATTTAAGATCAAATTCTGGGGCCTCCCCGGTGGCGCAGCGGTTGAGCACTGGGTTGCGAAACTGCCCGCGGCCTCTGCGGCTCCAGGCGCCGGTTCGATCCCCGGCTGCTCCCCAGCCACCGGAGGAGGGTCCCACATGGCGCGCAGACCTCTCCTGCCGCCCGCTGCTCCCCTCAGCAGTGTACTTCGGTCCTTCTGCCTGCTCTGCTCCCCGCTCTGGCTCTGGTGAATTCTCTCACCCTCCCGCGCTTCTGACTGTACCCAGTGCATGTATAAACAACAACAACAACAACAACAACAACAACAATAAATAAAAATAAAATAAATAAAATAAATAAACATGCCTCTAAAAAAAAAAAAAAAGATCAAATTCTACTTTCTGGCTCAGTGAAAAAGAGTATTATGATAATCAATGTTTGTTGTTAACATAGGATGGATGAGTGGTAGCTCACGTGCCTTGCAAAAATCAGTTTCCCTTCCCAGCTCTAGCATTTTGTGGCTTTTGGTCCCAAGGAGACAGCAGTTGCCTCAACATAAGGAAGGATTTTAAAATAATGTATCTGTCCAAGAACTGGCTGCCATGTGAGGAGGTAATAAGCTCTCAGGCTGCTGGAAGTGGTCAAGCGGAGGCTGGATGAACATCCCCTGGGAGTGGGAGGGATTCCTTCACTGGGTGGCAACTCTTCAGCTAGAAGGACATGTTACTATTTCAGAAGGAACATTTGTGATGGGAGGTTTGATATGCCAACAGCATTTACTGGTAAAAAGATGACCAAATCCACAAACAGACCAAAGTTGTGCACTCTTTCTCATAAACCCTTTTACAAGGTTGTAACTTCTCCTAAGCAACAGCAATAGGTCCCCCAAATAAACTGTTGACTAAACATTAATCTAGCTTCTTCCTCCAAGTCAAATATTAGAAGCTAAGCCTTCGGACAGAGCGGGGTCTCAAACACGACACAGGTTTTGAACAAAGCAGGCTGGTGAGGGCTAGGATGAGTTAGAAAGTAACACACCCTGGCTAAAGGAAGAAGTAACTATTTAGCTCTAGTCAACTGCTGCCATGTGGGAATGTAGATCTGAACTGTCAGATCTTTGTCTCTTTTTAAGAGGAGCTGGTAATCTGCATTTTTAAATAAAAGTCATATTTAGATGGCAATTCTGAATTACTATACAGAACAAACCTTGTGACCTTGGATGAGCTGGACATAAACTTGGGCGGGGGGGTGAAGTCAGTTAAGTATCCCTCCCTTAACCCTCTGATTTACACCTTCAAGTCACCCACTGCTCTGTGAACGTGACCGTGACCGGTAAAGAGGATCAAATACCTGAAGATGGCTCAGACAGTTCTCAGTAAACACTGGGGGCTTTAGAGAACAATCACTTTTAAGGAAGCACCATGAAAAAAAATCATCCCTAAAGAAGATCACTATGACTTGTAGACAGGAGCAGGACACCGGTGTTTAGTCTGGATAGCGACTATCAGAGGGTCACGCCCCCCAGCTACCTCCTATCCGAGGGGGGTGGCAGCAGTGAGAAAGGAAGACCTGGCTGGGTGAACAGGGAGGAGGCATCAGCACTGGCTATTCTAAGGCATCTGACTGTGGCAGACTGGCTTGTAAAACGTTTATTCCCATCTCCTGGTACCAGCCCCCTAGGTTTCCTTTGGAGAATTTACTGTCTTTCTTGGCTCTAGAACTAGACATGGAGTAAAGCCTGGCCAAGGAAAGTCCACCCTCGATTTTGCTGGAACTACCGGGGGAAAATAGTCCTCAGTTAGGGTTGCTAAGATTACAGCTGTCCTGATGTTAATGATGACCGCTTCCGCTACCTCACGGTGACAGCCTGCCTCAGAGTGAAACCAGCAAGGGTGAAAGCGCAGTCAAGAGATGAGGGCAGAAAGAATACCTGTTGCCATCACTCTACGACCTGGATCCAGCTAGCCTGAAGCCCTCCCCCAAAGCTCCAGGTCCCAGATTTTTCATTTACATGGACCAATAAATTCCTCTTTGGCTTAGGTCAGTTTGATTTGGATTTCCAGCACTTAAAAGTTGAAAGAGCCTTGACTGCTCTCATATAACACAGAATTCTCTACTGCTTGGGTCTCTTTGTCCTCATGTGGCCAAAAGACATTAGAGAAGAGAGAAGAGACATTAGAGAGGGATCCCTTCAGCAAAAGTGTCTCAAACAGTCCAACAGTACCACTGCCATATTTGAAGGGGATGAAAGAACCTTCTTAGGAACCATCTACCTACCTACCCTGGAGGGTAGGAAATGGAGGCACAAAATGGCGAACATGTTCCAGGAAAAACTGCCATTAGGCTTCTTTGGCCCCCAACAGTGAGAAGGGGCCACGGACAAGAGATGCTTCTGGGGGCCAGCTCTCATTTATAAACAATGCACAGTCAGACCTGGCTAAAATCCGGATCTCCTGCTGATACTTATTTGCGGTGTTGACCTAGGCAAGTAACTCAGTTTCTTCCAAGTGAAGTGTGTTGTAAGAATGAAATGAAACAATGTATATAAAAATACCTAGCATGATGCTTAGCACATCTTCTTATCGCATATTAAATGTCATATTCATATCATATATTAAACGCCATATTCATATCATATTAAACGCCACGTGTGCCGGGCTAACCGCTTTCCATGGGTGAGCTCATCTGATTCTAAAACCTCTCCCCGCCCCATCTCTCCTTCACACATGTTATCCTTATTTTAGAGATGGAGAAACTGAGACACAGAGGAGGTGAGTTACGGGCTCCAGACTACATGGCAAAACTGGGATTTTCAAGGCCAGGCGGCCTGGCTTTGGGGCCTCCTGCTTATTCCTGAGAACCATGCTGCCACTGCCTGGAAGTTCTCTTCCACTATCTAGAAAGCTAAATTAAAGTTCAATTCCAGGGCCACCCTGGTGGCGCAAGGGGTTAAGACACAAGCCTCTGCAGCGCCGGTTTGATCCCCGGCCACCAGCGAGGGTCCCATATGGCGCGCAGACCTCTCCTGCCGCGCCCGCTGCTCCCCACAGCAGTGTATTTCATCAGTCTGCCTGTTCTGTTCCCCCCTCTGGCTCTGGTGAATTCTCTCACCCTCCCGTGCTTCTGACTGTACCCAGTGCTTGTATAAAGAAATAAATCTTAAAAAAAAAAGACAACCAACGAAGCTGTCCACAGCCAGTGCAGCACAAGTTCAATCCCCATCCGGCCAGGGAGCTACCCACATGGCGCAGCAGACCTCTCCTGTCTCCCCGCTGCTCCCCTCAGCAGTGTATTTCAATCAGTCTGACTGTTCTGTTCCCTGCTCTGTCTCTGGAGAATCCTCTTACCCCCCTGCACCTCTGGCCTGGTTCTTGTATGCATAAATAAATAAATAAATCTTTAAAGTTCAATTCCAACATTGCCGGGCTAATAAAAATTCCTATTTGCCTTCCCACCTGATCCTAGTCCTTCCACAGCACCCTTCTGGGCCTCTGAGGAATTCACATTTCATGAATAAGGTAACAGACTTCTTATCTAGGGTTAGCTCACTATGCTGACCTA